CGCTGTCGCGGGCATCCCCTGCCTTCACATAATCCGGCGAAACCAACCCTAGCCGCCTCTTCCCTTCTCCTTCCTAGCCCAGCCCCTACCGGAAAACGCCTCTTTCCCAGCCTGCAATCACCTCCACCCCCAGTGATCTACTACAGCAAACTCACCTCAATTTGGAAGGAAATTGATCGGAGATTACCTAATCCGATGATTTGCCCAGAAGACAAAACGATTTACAATCATTTGACCCAACAAACCGTTTATATCAATTTATAGCAGGTCTTGATGATTCCCTGGACAAAGATCGAAGAGATCTACTAAACTCAGACGAACAAAGAAGCGGTTTTGCTACAAAGGGATGAACAGAGAGACCACAATTCCGGCGAGTAGATGACCGGGTAAACCTAAGGTGTACTCACTGTGGAGGAGCACGACATACGAAGGAAGGGTGTTTCAAAATTATCGGCTACCCTGAATGGTGGCCGGAGGGGAAGAAGAAAAGGTTCGAAAATCGAACCCCATGGAAGGGAGAGCAAAGAAAAGCAAGCATAGCCGCGTGTAGCACTAGAGAGGAAGGTTTTGGAGGCGGAGTGGTTTTTGCGGTGGTTTGAAGGGCTTGGGGTGAGGGCAGGGGATGCCGGCGGCGGAGGCGGCTGGGGTTGGTTTCGCCGGATTATATGAGGGCAGGGGATGCCGGCGACAGCGGCGACTGGGGCAGGTGGTACCGGTGGTGGGGCTGGCTGGGTTAGGGGGTTAGGTTTTTTTTTTTTTTTTTAAAAAAAAATTTCTTGTTTTTTTTAACCAATAAACAACTAACACGTGTACATGGCAGGCCCCACTAACGGTTTCCATCCAAAAATCCGTTAGTGGGTTATGAAACCAAAATTTTGGGATTTTTGGTGGTGTTATAATAAAACTTTTTTTTTTTCGAAGGTGTTATTATCAAAATTGGGGTCTTTTATGGGTGTTATTTTCTAATTTGACCCAAAAATAACTTTCTCCTTAAAGGGAAGAGGAGGTTGGGGAATTAAAAAAATAATCCATCTTCCTCTAAACAAAAGTGGCATGGAAAAACTAGCATGGGAAATATGTCAAGGTCCTATCCTAGCCCAATAATGTATTTACTTACAAAAATCGTAAAATCCATAGAAATTTGATGAGTCCATTTTATATATTTTTTTTTTATTTCCCATCCCATGGTCATATTTGTGCTTATTTGAGCTCTACGGAGCTATTTTTATTACTAATATATGTCTTTTAGTGTTTTTGTAGAGTTGATATTATTTTGTAGAAATTTCCATAATCATGATAATTTTCGAGCTTATTGAGCCACTAGAAAGACATTAGAATTTGATCGTATTTTATGACCAAATGTTATAAGCCCAAGACCGAGTTAGAGGAATTTAATTTGATGGTTAAGGGCTCGATTAAGTGAAAAAGTCCAAAATAATATCATGATCAAGTTAAGTCCAAAAGTGGAGATTGGGCTCAAAGCTAGAGAAGTCCAATACCAAGGAGAACACTCAAGCTCGCGCGTGAAGAAGCCCAGCTCGCTGCCAGACAGGCGGGCTCGATTGGGCGGATGTGTCCAGCAACACGTTAGGCTGCTTCAACAGTTGGGCTGTCTTTCTTCTTGGACTTGCTGATTTTGGGTTTTGTTTGCTGATGATTGTCGGTTTAGGGGTAGTAGTTTGACCTGGAATCAAACACCTTTTCCTTTCTTACAAAAGGATGGTTATTACGTAGGTTGTGGGGTGTGCTTTTCTTACTTTAGCTTTTAATTATTAGTTTCTTAGATTAAGTTTTAGTTTGTTAATTTTCTTTTAGTTTAGCTTTTACGTAGTTTAGTTTTAGTTTCGTTTTGTTTTCTTTCCTACGTTTCTTTGTTCACATCTTATCACTTTGATACTATTATTCTCTTTATTTTATAATTATTTTTATTATGCTTTCTTTAATTGTTTTGGTTAGTTTAGATTTAAATAATATATATATATTAAACTTAATTTATTTAACAAAGTCGAAGCTCAAACGTGCCAGGCACGTGGGCCGTGTAATGGGCTGGCTTGGTGGAAATGGAGGCACGGCACGGCCCGCCGCCATGGCTCCAGGCAAGGCCCGCGACGGCACGACTCGGCCTGTTGCCCACCTTTATTGATTAGTTGTGTTGAAAATATTTAAAAGTAGTATACATTATAGATGCATCTTATTTCCTGATAAAACTAATATTAATCAAACAACAAATCGAATAAAATCTACAGTAAATTTATTAGCACAACATACATATAAATATATAAATTCAAATAATATATTATCTTTATATCCAATAAAATAATTTCAATGGAAATAAATATTATTTGGATCATTAAAGACAATAATAATCTACAATTAGGCAACACTAACTATATTATTAATAGTTTATTTTCTATTTATGAATTGATGCTCTACATGATATCGTCGCTCTTTGTTATTATATAAAAATGTGTTTGAAGCTATCCAATAATTGTAGTTTGATCATTGTTTGTTTATTGCCTTAAAAATTTATTTGTAGGTGATAACTATTTATTGAAAAAAAGGAATACACAAGAAGATGTCACTTGTTACTATATCTGACGTATCTTTTACTATGCACCTTATTAATAATGTCGAATTTTATTATATCAATCAAATGTTTCAGCAAAAGATAATTTTTTTTTTTGTATTTACTAAGATATTAATTTATTTAATTACATAATAACAAAAAATTGATTGATATTTCACATTTTCCTAGAATTAAACATATGATATGATACAGTTGTCGAACACAATATTTATTTTACAGTCATATCTAATACTCCATTAGTCTAAGAAACAAAATATTAGAGGTATTTGAAAAAAAAAATAAAGTGATGTTTTAAAGTAATTTATTTAATATCAATTATATGAATCAATTTATTATTACTTTTTGGGAAAAATTTAATAATACTTCGTCTAAAAAATGTCCCGATGGTAATGATAGTATCTTGTACCTAAACCAGTGGCTCACTCTTTCTATAATTAAAAAATAGTTGGAATAATATTTTAGGTAAATGTGTATTGAAAAATTAAGAACATGAATAAAAAGAAATACATTTTATGTAAAGATAATATATAAAATTTGAAATAATATTATTATAGTTGTATTATACAAATATTCCAAAAATAAAAGATTTTTTTTTACTAAAAGGGGAGGGGAGTTTTGGAGGGAAAATACAGCACCAGGAAGTGACACGTGTCATTCCTGGTGTCTGTTTTAGTATTATGTTATTGATTAATGTACCTACAAAGTTATTTATTTTTATTTATGGGGTTGACTATTGACTTACATTTCCTTTTATATTTCAATTACTACTTTGTATTAATTTCAAATAGACAACTTGTTTGTTTGTGGGGATGATTGATGGAATAAGGATTTAATATCCCTCGTGTCGTAGATAGAGGTGGCAATGGGTCAAATCTGTACTTTATCCTACTGGATTCGAATCTAAATCCGTTTTTAGAACAAGGATCCATGAATCCGAATTTGCAAGTATTTTTTTTTTTTTTTTAAAAAAATATCTTTTAATTTTTAGTTTAATATGAGCAAACTATTTTTTATTAAATTCATCTAATATATCTACATGCTTAAACCATTATTTTTTCAAAATAACAAATAAATAATAAAGTTTTTAAATTGTAAAAAAATAAAATAAATAAATAGTTTAGGGTATTTTTTTTGAAAAAAGAAATACTTGGTATATTTATATAAGAAAAGTCAAATTAATTAATAATTAATCTTAATCAATAACATTATAATATAAATAAAAATATAAAAAATCAGGTCTATAGGTTAGATTCGGATTGGATATGAACGGTCCATCAAAATAGATTCGCCGGGTCCAAAATTTAGAGATCCAGGTCCTAAAAGATGGATCTGGATCTAGGATCCATTGCCAGTTTGCCACCTCTAGTCCTACAGGATCCATTACCAGTTTACCGGTCTTATTCTTTATAATCTCATCCTCATTATACCTGCATGGAAGAGTGAGCAAATTTGAGGCTTTGTTTAGATAGGATCTGTGTGTGTATGGGTGTGAGAGGGGAATGTAAGGGGTGAGGGCGATCTGGATTGGAGAAAATTATGGTTCTGCTGCACTGCCTAGAATCAATTTACAAATCGAGCTACTCATAATACTTTAACACAAACAACAAACAGAGAAAGCAATTACGAAGTAGTATAACTCTGCTCGATAAGGAGGTACAAGCTACGCAAAAAGTAAATGCATTTGATCATATATTACAATTTCAAAAAATGTATGAACTCTGGCCATGTCATGCCTGATTGTTACTTCTAACTCATAAAACATGCGAATTCGATAGAGTGATAGACAACCCAAGTTTAGCAGTTATCAGATGTTTGCAAATTTGGAGTGAATAAAGTGCTCTAAGGTCTAGAGTCTAGGTTTAGGACTCTGGGATTCCAAAGACCATTTTGGTGGATTTATTCTGTGATTAGAAGACGACTCTACCTTCTCCTTGACTTGATCATCTCCCGCGATATCATCTGGAAATGCATTTGGATTGGTTTTTATACAGCTTTGCAATGCAACAAATGGATGCACACAGTCCGAGCCCTGAAAACAGAGAAACAAAAGGCATGATTCAATCATGACCCAGCCAAGGATATGTCCTCAATTGCTTGAAGGAATGAAGTGTATCGATAATTCCATTACAGATTATTAACCAATTTTTCGAACATTATTTCCTTCCCAGTCCTCAAATGAGTAGTCACGCCATCTACACTATAGCCTCCCCTCCAACCATAAACATTAATGATCATTAAACAGTTAAAATTAATCAAACTTTTCACTTGAATTGAGTTAGGTTCTTCAAGAAATGTAACTAAGGTACACATCACTGTATTGCCTTTCAAACATAATACTATGCAAAAAACTGTCAATAGAGTCTATAGAGAAACTAACAAACCACTATACCATGTGCACTCACCTTTTCTTCAGCAGTGCTCTTAAGAAAACAGAGGAAGGCCTCCGAAAATTGAGTACCGCATGGGCCTTTTCGCAAGTCAGCTATACATGGGCATTCCAACGCCTTTCTAGCTTTTTCATCAATAGACTGTAAGTAATACATACAACTCATTTAGGAAAGAACAATAGAAAACATGGAGAGAAACGATCTTGAAGATATAACAAAGAGTCAAAGTATTCAAGTAAAGCTCAATTACCTCTTTCTCGCTATCACCGTATGCTGCTGCCTCTGCAACACCAAGATATTATATAAGCTCAAAATACTAATAATATATTCATTAGCAATAACATGCACAAATATAGGTTGAATTTCCAGTAATAATCAATTGACGTATTACAAGAGACAAGAATAGCCTTGAAACATCATTGTCGCTGTCTTTCTTCTTCGTTATCAAGATATTGCTGTAATGCCCAACTCCTGTCAATTATTTGGTTATGCATTCAGCACAGCTAGCCTTCCCTATGCAACCATACACCCAAGCAAGTCAAGCACATGTCTTTGCCAATGGATTTATAGCCTAAGTGATTAAGTAAGCTTTCAAACTAGAAGCCACTTACACAGTTACACAGAATAATTACCTCCATGGCCTTCCTTATGCTAAGGTGGATTTTGGTTAATTTCTGCTTTTACTGTTTACATTTACATTAGTTTTTACAAAAATTAACTCTAGGTCATGATAATATATAACCACGTCATACATTCATACCAAGCCTTGCTAAGAGCAAAAAGGGCGACAACACAGCAACACTGAATGTGGAGATGAGGCCTAAAGAAGCCCTCTATGGCTGCTATTAAGAGAGGAATTCGGAGTTCTTGAACCAACAGCTACAGACTGGACCTCCCCTTTTCAAACCCCTAAATCAGTTCAGACAATATCTCTTAAATCAAAGTGCTTTGGAATCTCTTCCACTGCAAAGACAACCCACACGGATGACTTAATCGAGGAAAGTTTTACATGACTTCCTTGAGGAAGACTATGTTACATTCCTCCAAAACCCATGACCAAATGCTGTGGGAACAAGCTCACCAAACAGCCAGTCCTCACCTAAATCCACATAAAATGAAGGCTATAGTCAATGCTAGCAAGAAAGAAAGATAGTCCCATCTCATACATCTATTCAAGGACAAAAGACAATTAAACACTTTCAAGTGGTTTAAAGGTTACGAGGTTTCAACCAAGTGACCAACCAACAACAATGTCTTACAGAAACACAGCAAGATAAGAGTCCAACAACACTGCAGACAGTTTCTATCATTGGACAATAACAACCCAAAAGTAAAACGAACATGCCTATTCACATAATCACATCTATTATACATCCATGCCCTGTCTTTTTGCCTCATTTCCTGACCCAAACTTCCAACATTCAAGAAAGCATCTTATATAAGCATAACATAACATCCTACACTTGGTGCTAATTTTTGAAGATTTCAATTCACAGTAAGAACAGCATTATTATAACACTAAAAGTTATTGAAATAGTCTTCTACTACATACATCTTCTGTGAATTACTAACCTCTAAATTACATATAATTTACTCAAAAGTTCCAAACACTTCATTGCAGTTATTTTGGAATTTTTGTGAAACAATCATGAATTTTATATAAGCCCAAATTCTGGCGAAAACCATGGAGACGAAATTAAGATATACTGTAATTAAAATGACATATCAACTCTGATAAATCTTCAACCTTTAACAGTGGAAAAAAGGATCAAACTTTATCAGTCAAGACCGATTCCTAGATGATTATTATTATTATCAATCAAACTCCCTAGAATGTTACTATCGAAATTTCTCGATTCTAATCAATGGTTACATTTAACAGAAAATCAATAATAAACTAAGGAGGGTAATTTGCAGAGAAAAAGTGAAATCAAATTAATCATAAAAAGTTGATAAAAAAAGTTGAACGAAACACCAAAAGAAGATTGGAAGGAAATAGACCTGCAATTAGAGATTCTATGGAAGAAGGTGGGGCCTTTGAGGTGTCATCAATGGCGGGGGCGGAAGTGTGACTTTGAGATTGACCCATATTCTCTTCTACTCTAGCTTTGCTGCTTACGAATTACTAGGGTCACCGAGTTGATCTCATTGATTCACAAAAAAAATGAAAAGTGGCAATAAATTGTGTTGGTAAGGATTAATGTTAATCAACGTGAGGAACAAATTTGTTTCTCGATAAGTTATATTTGTAAAATTACAGGTAAAATCTCTATAGGCAAAAACCGTTACTTTAATTAGCGGTTTATAAGTAGCGGTTTTGCCGATAAACAGGAAAAAAAGGTGTTTTTATTTACGTTTTTGCAGTTTGAGAAACATAGGTTGTTTCTTTTTTTTAAAGCAAAACATAGGTTGTTTTCTCATGTTGAGAAACTTGGAATTTCTCGGTATTTTTAACCCCTTCAAGGCTAAACCCCTTATTTTCATCAAACCTTCTTCTATTTTTTCGTTTTTTTTAATCACCCACAAAAAGCAAAAATTTAGATTAAACTATCTTTTAATTAACTCCCTAATTTCTTACGAGTATGTTTTTTTAATTTTTTTATTTAATTTTTTTTTTGTTTCCTTGAAAAAAAAATTAAAGTGTTCTATGTTCACTCGATACAATATTTTGATTTAACACTTTGATCATCAAGGCAAAAAATAGTTTAATCATCAAGGCACATTTGTAAAGATCATCACATGAGAAATGATTCTATGGCAAAAACTTTAAGTGTAAGATGAATACTACCTCCATTTCATATTATTTGCAACGATTAGACATCTTTCCTTTTTACTTCATGTCAAATCGTTGCAAATAATATGAAACGGAGGTAGCATAATTATTTCCTCCGTTTCTTTGTCGTTGATACGTTAGGTTAGTCATGTTTGTCAATGCACAAATTCAATCATTAATATTTTTAATTACTAATAAGCAAAATAAAAAAAAAGTTGATACTTTGAAAATATATGGAATCTATCAAATCTCATATGACTATTATTTTCATTACGTATAAATTACAAAATGGTCAAAGAAAAGTGTGTTAATAGTATTTAAGTCAAAATGTGTCAAAAAAAAAAAAAACAAAGGTAGTATTATATAGTTATAGAAAAAACCTCTTATATTTGATGTATAGAAAAGTTCTTTGGTTCAGGTTTTTTTTTTTTTTTTTTTTTTTTTTTTTTTTTTTTTTTTTTTTTACAATGAGAACTTCATAAACAAGGAGCAAATTACAACCTAAGAGCTAAAAATAACTAAAAACAAGCAAACACACTTACAGCAAACTAGCAACCCTGTGTAACTTTGCTGAGGACCAAGAAATGGAGTCGTGAAGAAGACCACCAATTGCATAACACCATTGACTTAGGCGTTGGGAAAACCAAGAGAAACCTACCGAAACTTCATTATGGACCAGGAATTGCCAACTTAACCGAAAAACTCGAGATAGACCGAGAGATGAGAACTAAAGCTTGCAAAAACCCAAAAGCAAAATCAAAAGTAAAGTTGTTGAGACCAACACCAACCAAAAGACTGCATCTTGTTGTAGGAAACCTGACCGTTGACACCACTCCACTCTCGGGGATGGCAAAGCGTAAGTATATCCTAGGAGTTTGAGAATACAACTAATAGAGTCATATTTTTTTTATGACTCTACCTTGAGAAACCTTACACGACGATGCAGGTACTTTGCCTGCAACTTTACCAACAGTGAGTGCAGGACATTGGAGGACTTTGCTTGCCCCAAACTTTAAAGATGGGGAGCCTCCTTCAAGATTTAGATTAACAGCGATGGCTGACTTTGCCATCACAAACACTAACAATGAGATGATAGCAACTGATCGGATACTCTTATCATCCCAAAACCAAGAAACAACAGGATGAGCAAACAAACCTCTCCGCTCAACAACACCTTCCTCCGACGAACTCCAAATGCAGGAATCGTACCCCTGCACAAATAAACCCACCCCCTAAAAGACCACATCATCAAACGAAACCACTCTAAAACACTCAGTCACCCACTCACCTATAACTTCCAGGGAACCATAGTCACACCCCAAAAAGGCAATCAATAAGACCACCAACACCACAAACAAGGTTGAACTTAACCTTGCAACCTCTAACAACCAGAGCAAATCTGCCCAACAATACCCCAAAGACAACATTCTTATACCCTCCATAAAAGGTACTACCAAAAGAAACCCCAGCACAAGACAAAACATCAATAACAAGAGAAACTCCCTTTGAAGGTACAATATTGTTAACTTATGGAAGAACTTCCTTTGATATACACTATTTGTTGAAATATTCTTATCAAACTCATGTAATGCATTAACATGCTTATGTAAAACTTGCTACAAATTACCAAGACTAAGGTATTGTTTGGTTGAACCAAAAAAATGGGAGAATTGAGAAATCATGTGAACTTGAAAATGGAAGGTTTGTTTGGTTGACCATAAAAAGTGAAAATGTAGGAAAATTCATGGGATACAAATATATGGGAAATTAATTATCAAGGCCACCTTAGTAACTCAAAATTCCCACAATTTGCAAACGCTTTATTTACCACCAAACATGTTTAACTAATTCCTAGGAAATTTGACATAGGATTATAATTCCAATGAATTGTGAATGCCTATTAAATTTATTTCCCATATCAACCAAACATTACCTAAGTATACCCTAGTTTTTCAAAGAGAGAACTACATGTATGATGGATCAAAGATGACCCAAAAATGAAGAGAAGACAAAGCTGCTCAATAAGCAAAAAATGAACTGATGTTTCGAAAATTATTGTATTTGTCTAGTTGAGAGATATGTACAATCACCTATCTGCAAAACACGATTATTATTATCTAACCAAATTTGTGTTACATTCTTGCTCTGTAAAACACTATCCACCTCGTATTTCTTATCTTCCTTTCCAGCGTCAAGTATGTTCAACCTGCTTCATCTAGCTGGATTCATCCAGCATCTCAACCACTGGAGCATACTACAAAAGTAAATTCAGATAAGTGAACAGACAACGGAAAAGATGCAATTTTGTAGAAGCAGGTTATGCTGTACAGTCAGAAATCATACTGACCTCGTCATCTTCTTCAAAATATAATCCGTCCACTGCACTTTTCCGATGGAATTCCCAACCCAGTGTGTTCTCGAGCAATTCTCTGAGTTTTCTGGTCTATTGAGGTCATCGAGGGAAAAAGTAGAGGTTTTCATCAATTGATCAGCATAAATGCATAAACTGGATATGGGAACGGGGAAGCATGAACGCAGCAGACCTCATTCTTAGGTTTCAAAATCCATAATGCATGAGTATATTTTCAATTGTTCCACATACTAGACACCGTATGTCTATTAAGGAAATTTCATATTGTTAGAACGTTATGTACATAATTCCAAGCAGTGCAACAGAACCATAACGTTCTCCAATCCAGTCCCCCTTGCCCCGTGCCTCCCCTACCACACCCACAAAACCACACACAGACCTAACTAAAAAAGGGATCATATGTACTCTTTCACTTCCATAGTTCCATGCAGATATAATGAGGATGAGGTAATTAAAAAAAAAAAAGTAAATGAAAAGCAGACAGTTATTCCATTATTTCCATTGTCACGTAAGCGCTAGAAAAGCATTGCAGAAACACCGTTAACATAAAACTCACCCATGTTAAAAGATCGCCATCAACAACTGAGGCCTCATCAACCAGCAAAAAAAATTCCTGCACATATCAGCATAGAAAAATGACTAGATTCAATACCAGATGACCAATCTTGCTTCACACCAATCTTCTTCATCAGATATTTTCCTATGAAGCAATCTTGCTTCACACCATCTTCTTCATCAGATATTTTCCTTTTCATCACTTTGCCAATCTATTTCTTCAGGGTAAGGGTTTGAAGAGGTTAGAAATATTGAATGTATGAATCCTTTCCTAATTGCTGCAATCTACTTTCACAACCAAAGGGCAAGTTCAACAGAGTGACAAGACAGAATTGTAGGCTACTAGATGAACTACGCATACTAAGAGCCCTCATCTTTTCAAACGAAAAAAAAAAAAAGATATATGGAGATGCAATGTCAGGCTTGTGAGGGAGATTCATTTGGTGCAGAAATATGAATAAACCAAATATTGCTGGAAGGAGAAAGGAAAAAAAAATAAAAAAATCATCACCATTACTCCAGGATACAAACCTAATAAGCAAGAAGTCATTGTTCTTCAGCAGAGTCGATCTCTATAATCTATCTAAATACATGAATATATATTTGGTGAAATAATTACCTTGCAAAGGTGATGCAGAAAACTATCAGAAGTAAGCCATGAATCATCAAGCAATAATGACGATTCCTTCTCTATTGTGCTATCTTTTGCATGACCCCTTTGAAATCCATATTTTAGTTGATAATATACACACTTGATGAACTGCAAGAAGTGTCCTGAACATTAGGAAGGAAAGAAAGAGAGAGAAGTAGTGCACCATGTCCTGTCATCCTCTAAGTAGCAGTCTACCAAAAGCACATCAATCCAACTAGCCATTTATCTCCTAAAGGACAATGACTATTCAAAAATTTAAGTTGTAATATATGGGTAGTTTATAAACAATTAGGTAGTAGATTTTACCTTTATGAAAAGCTGGCTCCTAGTATGAAATGGCTGCAAGAAGAAGGAACAAAATTTATAAAGATCGTTTTCAAGAACAGAACTTCATTATAAGCACACTTGGTATGCTCCAGAATGAAACCATAGAAATTCACATGACCCCCACCCACCTAGACGTAGTGCTTAGGGGGCTTGGAGCTTATTAGAAATGAGACCTAACCTCACATTTGTGAGAAATCTGATATTTACAATATCAAAATACTAGGCTCTTGAAGAGCATCAATGATTTAGTTTGGAGGTCTTCAAATATATCAAGGTAAGATGAAAAAACTTTACTTGACCCTTGATCCTTGACCCTGCCAATTAAAAGATGAGCCCAGCTACTCTTAAAGGTTCCTATGGTTGTGCTTCCAACTTCCAAGTAAGAAGAATTGGATCTTTTGGCCACCACCCTTTCTTCAGTGCCTAACTTCGTTTATTGAACTTTTGGCTTTTTTCTATCCAAATTCAAGAACTTTAGTAACATACAGCAACCAACCATCAACTCTTGCTTAACATCTCAGTCTTTAGTTGAGGGTAATTTTCCAGCTCAAATACTAGAGTGAATCAAATGACTAAGTTTTCCTCTCCTTGTACTATGAAACAGCAAGCAACCAACATATTCCCCATCAATGGTTAAAACAAGGATAAGAGCACTTATATATGAACCTTGTGAAATCATCGAGGTGATGCTATGAGGAATGATTATTACAAAGCTTCCCAAAATCCAAAAAATACACAAGTAATGTACACGGTACAAGTGTACAACTGCTTAAAACCCACAAACTAACGCAAGGACCCAAAAACTGAAGAAGAGTATTTGCAAACTGCAATATGATTTAGATACTTATGGGCGTCTGATAAGGAAATCCTAAAATGTAAAGCAGTGAGAATTGTGAGTGAGAACACTTACAGCTTGGGTGCATCCAAACAGAAGACTGACCAAAGATTTCCACTGTAAAAATCCATCGAGTGATTGCCCCATCTGTGGAAGATCTAATTGTCATTAAGGCACTAGACAGAAAGACATTAAAAAGCTACTTGACTTGTTCATTTGAAGAGCTGTAATAGTTTATGTCATACCAGAAACGCAATAAATGCAAATTGCAGCTCACCAAGAAGTCTGTCTTCATCACCCTCAAACTCTTTCATAAGAATGCTTTCCAGAATATAAGTCTGAAAATCACAGACAGAATTGTTAGAAAATGGGATCCAAAGTTTATGGCAAAAGTATAAACATTTCTCTAGAAACTACCTTGTCTAGATTCACAGAGGTAAGTTCTGCTACAGAAATTCCTCTCTGCTTGATTACGCGAGGAACAGGTGTATAGTAGCATCCTTTCTTATCTGAAGTTTCAGCTTCTCTATTGAATTTACTATTCTTTAATTGTTCAGCCAAAGCTATCTCCATGGTGGTTTTGGGAATGTTGCCAACTAGGCTTGATTCACATGCCACTGTAATTTCCCCTCCTATTGGTTCTGTGATATAGGACAAGAATAAAAAATCATAGGCAGTCAAAGCTTAAAATAATTCCCAGAAAAGCTTTACAAAAATAGGATGGTTCTCACCAATACGCTCAATGACATCCTTAGTAATGTAATTTGACAAACGTTTCCAATCTCCATAATCACTCAATGAGTAAGGGCCAAGGTGCCTATCAAATTCAAACTGTTTCACAGCCTGAGCATATCTCTCTTCCTACATTGAAGCAGAGAAAGGATGTTAGACTGTTAAAGTTGGAAGCTTTAAAATACGACACTACAAGAGTATTAACTAATCAATTCTCACACAAGCCAAGCAAATTGAACTGTCACACCAAGAACTTTTCAGATATGAAAGCAACAACCGACATGTATTTGCTGTCCTTGCCAAAATGACTGTTATGAACTTGATTATTACACTAACATGAGTAAGAAAATTACTTTTAATATGAGTGCGGAACTAAGCATAACTATTTCTAGGTACAAGTTCATCCACTCAAATGATAACATGGAAGATGCTCAAGGAATGACAGGAAGCCATCCAGGTTACAGGAATCAAGTTCCTCAACTGGAAGCTAGCATTGCTATGAAATTCATCGATGCAATGTAAAAGTGACCTTAAGGTATCCCCATTAGCTAACCAATGTTACAACTAACAAGTACTAACCTCTTCATCTGGAACTTTCACCAGTCTTTCTTCTTCCAGGTTCCATTTACGAACAACAACCTGTTGAAACCAAAGAAAATGAAATGGCAGCAACAACTGGAATCCAATGGATAAGCTCATAATATATAGTAAGCAATTAAACCTCAGATGGGGAAGTCTCAATAAAAAAGCCAATGATGGGTGAAAACTCCTTTCCATCTCTGCACAGAAAATTGAAAGCTCTAACCATCAAAACACATAACTGATAGACAAAATGTCAGAAACGAAATACGGTAGAGCAAAAGGCTACAAAGTACCACTAAGTAGAATATTTAATTCAGCTAATTACAAACAGACGAATAAACTCCCAAAAGCTCAGACAAGAACAAATGAAATAATCAGGGAAACATACTTGGTAGACGAGCTGTAAAATATAAAATGAACTCCAGGAGGAATCATCTTAATACCCTTGAATTCAGGGCCAGCGGAGAAAACCTGAAAGGAATAAAACCCAATTTTTTTTTAGAAAGTCGAATATCTACAGTCATTTACATCTTGTCATCAATGTCCAATGTAAACCTACAAGGAAGAAGTGCAAGGTTTCAAACTCATGAAAAAAAGATTATAACCCATCTTATTAAGATATATTGTACAATGACATGCTAAGTACAATTGGGAGCAAAGGTAAGGGGCCAAGAAGCCGAGAACGAATACAATTTACAATAAGATAGCTAGATGATATTAATCTGATGGAGAGAATTAAACATATAACGCGCTATACAAGATTTATCAAGCCGAAATTCACTTGGAAAATGCACATTCAGTCCTCACAACGATCAACTTCCAAAATCATCCTCTCAACAACCTTTTTTTTTTCTTTCTTTTTTTTTTTTTTTTTTTTTTTTTTTGAAAAGATACTCTCAACAACCTAAACCTAACTAAGTTGGCTATTAATCCAACAGAAACTAACAAATATATAGTGAAATTCCACACTTTCCTTGCAATTTTCCTAACCTCCTGCTCAAATTGTAGATCACTAGCTCAGGTACAAGCCAAGTATCATAATTTTATGATTGATCCTAAAATTGTCACTCAGAAATTAAGGTTCCATGTTGCCATAACTATCAATACTTGAACAAATGAAACTAATAATTCGAATTCAGCTGAAAAATAAGACAACCCCATCACTATAATCATTAACATTAAAGCACTCAAATGAGATGTAATCCAACAAAAGCATTCCTTTTTTCAGGAAAACCCCATTAACAAACATCCAGAAATTAAAACCCCAATACTTATAATCAATATATAAATAACATATTATGACAAAACATGTAAATAAATCAAAATTCTTAAATATTTAACACAAACCCAGAAAATAGAAGAAGAGAAAGAAATGAAGAAGATGACCTGGGTATCAATGCCAATGAGAGTGTACTGAGGAACATCGAGAAAGAGAAGGGTTGAGCCTTGCTTTACCAGTTCTAATGCTTTTTCTTGCTCCATTTTCTTTCCCAATTTAATTTCTTTGTTGTTATGAAATTGGAAGCTTAGAGCTTTAATAAATCCAAGTTCGCAGTTTTAGGATTTACGAAATTACGAGTCCAGAAGTCTCTTCGATTTTCCTGTTAGAGAGTAGAGGAAGAATGAAGAAGCCAAGAACACCCGTCTTATACAAGTTAATCTCGGTGATAAACATGTGAAGTTTATCACAGGGTATTGTGGTCATTTCGCAGTTAAAATGAGGGGTATTTTTGCCATTTGAAAGAGGAGATCCTCCAAGCAGCTTTAATGGGAGAATGCAAATCTGATGAAATCGAAGAAGCTGACGAGCTCCATCAATGGTGAATACCAATAGAAGGGGGATATCAAATAAGCAAACGAAAACACTTTCCCCTTAGGGGTTAACCATTCCCTTAATTTCTACATATTTACACAGGGTTTTCGTTGGATTTGGCGACGAAGTCGCCGAATATGGTGTTGAGGTTTCGTATTCACCATTGAAGCATCTAGAAGAAGAAATCAGAAGATTAAGGTGTTTGGGGATCAGAGAAGGAGGAAGAAGATGAAGGTGCTTGCAGGGTCGGGAATGTGAAGGAAGGAGGAAAGGAAACCATGGATTAATCATGGAGATGGGTCACGGTGGAGTGAGGAGGAAGATGATGGTGATTTTTTATTTTTATTTTTTATTTTCAAAATGTAAAAATATTTAAAATTTTGCTACCAAGATAAACGTATCCGTTTATCACGGAGATCAACCTAGGCTCCCTCGAAACCGACCAAATTTATTTATGTTACTGTTTAATGGACTCCGTAGTTTACCTTTAAGGAAAATTTGTCAATTATAAATTTGTATTTACTTTGCGGGTTACAAACATAAAAAGTCATCCAACATCAAGGGTGAAGCCAGACTTAACTAAGAAGGGGGGCCGGTCTAATAAGCGCGATTGAGGATGGGGCCAGTCTAATATGCTTATATGCATCCATGCTACTTCAATAAGCGCGTGTAAGGCAAAACACCACAAGGGCCATGTCCCTCTTAGGCCTCAACTAAGCTTTGCCCATGCCCAACATATTATTACACTATAACCGAAATCCGATTTCCGACCACTTTCACCAGAATATGACGCCATTCTCTCACAGATGCTATTGAACGATCAAGTTCATATTTCTTTCTTTACGGTGTAATAAATTTCACAGTATTTGTTTAACTTCAATGTCATCCGTTACCTCAGTAAAACATAATTGTAGATGAAAGTACTACAGCATACGTAGATTAACAGGCAGTTTCTGATGAATGCTTTTGCAATTCACTAAGATGCTACGGTAACGAGTACTTTGTAAAGAGAGTTATTAGTACTGCCGCTGTCTTTTATGAGTATTACATACGAAGTGTCAAACATGTGACTATAATGCTCTTGCTTGACATAGATGAGAAATGTGATCTTTAAGGACAGTTAAATTATAATAACATAGAAGAAGTTTATATGCCTGAATACATGCAAACAATCTTAATTTCAAATCAAGAATCAAGACTAGAAATAAAGAGAACCAAAACTGACATTACATTTTCAAGGAGTGCTTAGAGGCTTCCTGCATAAAATCAGTTTCCAGAGGACAGAGGAGCCTTTGCCTCTTTGAGTAACAAGCATTGTGGTCCATATTGAGCTTTTGTGCCAAAGTCATTATAATTTTGTTTTTACAAACAAGTATAGATATTGTTTGGTTGACAAGGACAATCATTTGAAGCTGTAATGAGAGGGAACTAGAAGACCGAAGGTTGTTTGGTTGACCAACACGTTGAGAGTATAATTTCCTGAGGAGTCCGAAATGGAAGAAATAGCTTCCTGATCTCCACAAGAGTGACTCCGTGTAGGAAGTTCTACTTCTTTTAATCAACCAGCTTACTTTAGACACTTCCATAAAGTTTTGATTTCCTTAGGGAGTTGCAACTTCCAAAAGTGCGCTGAACAAGCACTAGCTATACTTCTCGGCATCAAACTTGACTTGGGGATTACGGATATCATCCTGGCTCTGAATCAATCGGATTTCTAGACTGCTTGTCTTGGGATCAAATCCTGCAAGACTGTAGTCGCTCATAGTCTTATGCAGAAGTGCCTGAAGTGATTGATGCTTTGTAAGAATAATTACAATGCACAACAGACATGACAATAACCATATTTATGTAAAGCAGATTGGGCCTTTTCATGATTCTAAACGCATCCAGACATAACAGACATGAGATTAGGCCAAAACTACCGCCTACAGAATATTACATAACATAGGAATGAAAGACCCCCAGAAAAAAAAAGAAAAAAAAAAAAAAAAAAAAAAGTACGCATCCCAAGAAGTCTTGTGAAATACAAAGGAACAGATCAACTGACTAATAATACAGGGAAACAAAAGCCGATAACATAATATCATGAGTCATGATGATTGCCAAAATTAGCATCAACTATCCTTAACTTAGATTGGGTTATTGTCAGAAATATATACTCCATACTAAGTCTAGAGGCCAGTCACACAGCTGCCATATCATCACATGACTCAAGCACAAGCAAGAAAATAAGTGGGAAGGTACCTGCAAGCTTGAAACAGCAAGCTCTGCTGCCCTAGCAAGATTATCAGGATACTTCTGTAAAATACAAACATGCCAAGATTAGCAACAGATGAAATAGAAACCAAGTCAAGTAAACTCAGGTAGATTAAGGAATGAACAATTACATTGCTCCACCCTAGTAATAGTGCAGTCATTAGGTCTCCTGTTCCCTACACAATAAATGAACAGTCTTATGTAGCAGCGTAAATGAATTTAGAACTTTAAACATTTCTATGCAGCACAGCTAGCCAAACACTAAAAGTGGTATCTCATGAGAGTAATGCCATATATTTGATTGGAATGCAAGTGCCAGATATAGCAAAGCATATAAATTGTGAATTTGAGCAAAAGTACTTTGGATGTGCAAAAGAAAAATAAAACGAAAAACTACGTACCGTAAAATATGCTGGGATTTTTGGAATCATAATTTTGAATTGCTCAGATGCCTCGTCCTATATATGATGGAAGCAAAATACTGTCAGGGACTAGAGGTTTACACACGCAGAATGGGATCATTGGTTTATACAACACAGTTACGGCTGCTGTCAACAAATACTACTTCGTATATAAATGTAACACACTCTATAATTTAATCCAAAAGATGAGGACTACTATAGCTCACATTATTATAGATAGGGTTATATGACTCATCTAAATAGCTAACAATTAGATGTTTCAGACACGAGTATGTGTCAAAAGTGTTATGGCACAACCATTTTATGAACAATTTGCCTAATCTTAGCCCAATGTCCAAGTGTCAAGCATCCCACACAGCTGACACAGGTACTTGAGGTGAAAAGAAGAGTTGGAGTGACATAGGACAATTGATTATAAGTTACAAAGAAAAAAGAAAGCAAAAGCGTAGACATGTGACATGTCTAATCGAAGAAATAAGACTTCACAGAAATCGTTCACAATATAGTATCTCATTTTGCTGATTGGATTCAAAAGTCATGTTCCTCAAATTAAATCAGTGTGATGAACATATTGAAAGAATACAAAATTTATGAATTGTTCTCCAATCAAGTCATTTTAGCATTACAATTGCATGATGCACTGAAGTAGACACTCATTTCAGTTTAAACAAAAGCTATACAATTACAGGGATCACAATAACACAAACCTTTTCTTTCTTACTGCTGCCAATGAGATAGAGATTACCATCAATATGTATGCTCGTAATGACAACCTGGAAAGTCATCATCCCACACTCATCACAACTGGATAATAAATTAAAGCTGTATCAAGATAATAAACAGAAGAAACGGGGAAAAAAAAACAGTCAATAATAATTAACTCAACTACTGAGCAAAATTTTATTATATTTATTGTTATTACTGAATAATGACCAGCATTGATCGAGACAAAAAAAAAAAAGTACATTCCCTAGGAAACTAGGCGTGCAAGCCCCCGAAACATGAAGAACTTGTTAAAATTTCTATTTAATAATTGCTCTCTCTAGTGATAGTATTTAGTTTGATACTTTTGTGGTTATATCAAACTATCCTTACATTCATATCATCACATTCATCAGTGGTCTTTGCCTAATATTCCACTTCTGACCTTGTATTTGTCTTGCACAATTTTAAAATTGGCAAAGCCTAGATCACAGGGGGGTTTCCTCATAGCTCTCTCTGCTGTTGTCCAAGATTTATCTCATGAAATGCCAATGGGTAGTTCTGGAGTAAGACAGTGATCGAGGGACTAGTCCTCCCCCCCCCCCCAAAAAAAAAAATAAAAAAATAAAAAAATAAAAAATAAATATATAAATTAAGTGTAAGGGTGGCTTTTGCTTTCAAAGGCATATGGCCCACATGAGGTATAGCTTATAACGAGGAATAGAATGAGTTTTACTGTCTTATAGTAATTTTATTCTAGAATGGGCAGTTATCAACTAAGAGCTGATTCTACCTTATTGGCAACCAGCAAAGTCAATTCTTTATTTTGGAAAAATCTCCAGTTAGCACTGCCACTTCCCCACTTAGGAAGTAGCAACAAAGGCCCTATAGTGTACACCAACAATAAACATACTAGCTTCTTCCAAATTAGTTGACTATAATGAACATCTATCCCAATGACATTAACCAAGTCATTATCCTAGCAAGAGATACACCAAAATAAGAGAGGAGGGAAAGTCTTTCTAAGAGTCTGGGACGGCATCTCACATTTAATTTTATAATTGCAGAGGTATTGCTTTAGCCACAACCACATATAGACATAAAGTACACAACTACACAAGATGTATTACGGAGGTGTTGCATCACCCAATAGCAGTTGTAATAATTATATATAAAAGCTTAAGCTGATGATGAAAGTACAAAAAAAAAAAAAAAAAACAAAAACAAAAAACAAACCTTTGCCGGTCCAGCCGCGTGTAGTTTGCTACAAGCTTCCCTCCCATCTTGTTCTGACACAATCCTGTCACAAATACAGGCTCTAAAACAACAAAACACAAATATCGAAAGACTAACATATTTTTAGACTCCTATATAGGTAGGGTAGATTCATTGCCAAGCAAAATCCAACAAAAATTCATATTGCAAAATGGAGTCACTTCCACCAAGAAGCTCTAAAACAACAAAACACAAATATCGAGAGACTAACATATTTTTAGACTGCATATAGGAAGGGTAGATTCATTGCCAAGCCAAATTCAACAAGAATGCATATTGCAAAATGGAGTCACTTCCACCAAGAAGTAAAAGGTATTATAAACAAAAGGCACTTGCGTAATTCAAATGTTCATTGCTGTCAAAAAAAAAATAATGTATTTACTTTGCAAGCCAAATATGAGTCTGTTAGTAATCCTTGTTGCAAGATATTGAAATACGGAGTTACTAAAAACCTAGAACTCCAAGGTCCTTTTTTTCATTATATTTCAAACTGGAATACAAGCAGAGCTTGTCAGTGTGTATCATATACCTCCAAAAACACGATGTTTTAACAAAAGAAGATGAGTAAGGAAGAGAGTGAAATTGTGGGAGAAAACTGCAAAATGAATCTTCTTTTCATAACTACTTCAGGAGCAGAGTACACCATATAAAATCCTCAGTTCAAGAATAAAGAAATTTTTCCACGTAGCACCAGATAAGAGATGATACCTCAAACCAGTCAGCAGTTCAGCTTCAAACTGGTTAGGCGTCAACATCGATGCAACAGGAACAACCTAGGCATCAAAGAGCACCAAAAAACAACAGCAATATAAATTAAGAGTTTAAACTAAAAGGAAAAAAAAGGCATCAATATTATCATTTCTCTTAAAAAAATATGTAAACTTAAACCACCAGTTCAAGGAGATATTACCACCCAACAGCAAGCTAATACTACATATTATCAAACAAGCATTTGCCTCATATAAGCACTTTTCTCTTTTGGTGAACAGCAGAGAATGTTGTCCCCATTAAAAACTAGTAAGTTGATTAACCAGGGTAGAAGAAAATATCCCCAAATAGAATTGCGGTGTCACGTATCACAAGCAGAGTGATTTACCATTGCGCCAACATTTCTTAATTATCTTAGCCTGGATACTAAAAATTTCAGCTTCATTTGTTTAATTGTTATGATTAGGTCAGTCAAGCCTCAAGCTTTGGTTTTACAATCAACTTGATTTCCATTGCACAAGCCAAAATTTTTAGAGTTACCACATTACTCGCATTTATGCCTTTATTGCCATCCCTAGCAAGTGGGAAACTCATACTCTCAAAGGCGAATCAAGCTAAAGTAAAAGACACTACCACAATTATCAAATTTCTTTCCATCTTCCTAGAAAGAGATTCGATCCTAGCAGGAGATCAAACAACAAACTTTTAATGAAACTGATATCCTTTGAAGCCTTGACTAATCAATCACAGATCCAACCAAACCCATCTCTCCATTTACCTATCATCAAGAGCTGATATTCATGGTAATTAAGTGCATAAAACCATTGTTTTATTTCTCAAGATGTAATAAAATTAAGATCTTCTCAGCTTATTTGAGGTAAAACATCAATCATCAAGTAGAGCCGTAGAGGGCAGTAGCAGAATCTTGAGAAAATACATCAGCATGTATGCAGCTCTATCATAGAAAACAGATAAAGTACATGGTTCCTGAGGTTGTGACAACTTGAAGTTTTAACAGATGAGTCATGCTTACAAAGTTGGCATACAATCTACATAGAAAGTTGGCCTTTTGACGTAGTAGATAAACTTACAGATAAGCTACATACCTTTTGCCTATATACTGACACCAGGTCTTCAGGGACATATAGCTTTCCTTCATCACCCATTACTGGATCACAAACTGAGAAGGAAGGTCATGTATAAAAGAAAATCATTAGACATTGATGCAGAAGAGAACAGAGAGAATTTAACCATAGCTAGCTGAAACAAATATAGCTTTCTCAATTGCATATAGGTATGAAGAAAGAGCTAAATTAACTCCATACAAGAGAAAAGAAACTTTAAATTTAATACCCTCACTTAGAATTGCTTAGTACTTTGTATAATATTGGATTTTAAAGCACTAACAATGTCCATGAGAAAGGAAACCTAAACAAGAAGAAGCTGATCACACTGTTCAATTCACAAAATACTTTTTGTCTAATGGCTCAGCCATGCTAGAGGTTACTCTTCAAGGGTAGAGCATATTGAGCACCCTTGAAATGATTTATCTTTCCAACAAACATCAGATATAATGGAATATCCTCTGAAAAGTTAATCTCCATTAAAAGGTTTAGATACAGTTCTACATTAGAATAAATAAACAAGAAAAAGTCATCCACCTAGTAATTGTGTTCAAGAACAGCTCTTTCATAATAAGGTTGTGCAGAAATGCAGATTTGAGCAGTTAAAAAAGCATAAGATAAAGATGCAGCGTACCAAAGATTACAAATATAATGAAATAAATATTAGAGGCACTGCTCTCAATTTTATCTTGTAGAAATGGAAACGCCCTGATTCCCTATTCATGCAATTTTATCTTCTACTATGTCCTGTGATCCCACCAATACTAGTAGCTTGATGTTTTATATTAAAAAAGACAGTGATCTTATAGTGTGAACTTGCTCGTACTGCTAGTAAGGTCATTAAGAAAATAAGTCCTAGATTATATATATTTTTTTTTTTTGTGTTTTTTTTTAAATCTGCAAAGATGAGCATCAGAAAACCATTCATCATCCAAGTAAAAGAACTACTCTACCATTATATTTGTATACATAAAGTGTGTGAGAAACCTACCAAAGAGAAGTCCAGGATTCACAGTTCGTAGTTTAGTTACAACTTTCAATACAGTATCCAAAAATGAGACCGAACCAATATAACCTGCAAAGTCAAAGAAAGCCATTTAAATTTTTAAGCTATTCATCAAAAAGCAACATGCCTCCAGGAAATGTCAAGCATATATACATATAGTTAGTTGACTTTAATAATTAAAGTTTTGGCCTCAGAAAGAAAGGATACACAAGATTGTTTGTATTAGTAAAGCTAGCATTTTGATTACCGCCTTGTACTAAAGCCAAAAAAAAAAAAAAACTATCTTGCATGAAAAATAGCCCATCCTTACCTGTCAATAAATGAGTGTAGAACAATAAATTATTTGCTTCTAGACCTTCAATTAAGTCCCAGAGTTCTTTCCCATTCAAAACTTGGCCTTTAAATGTCGGATAACCTGCATGATCCACAACTTAACAAAATTAATCAGCAGAAGATCATCAAGCTCCAATTTTCTTATGGAGGATTGAAATCAATGGCATAAGACCAGCTTGCCTGTGTGATTTGAGAATTGTACGGAATTTATCGGGTCTACATCATATCCAAGAAGTTGAAGCGGAAAGACAGCTGATTTATTGCCGACATAACCCTGAATCCCAAAGAGCCACAAAATTACATACTGAACATCAAACATCAACAATTCACTTCTCTTATCTGATATGGTTAAAATTTAAAATGCGCCAAGCAAAAAGGGCAGTGATGTAGATAGGATTCGTTCTCTTTTCCGTGTTTTAATTAACTCATATACTTTACCAACTAAACTAGCTCACATCCGCAACAACAACCAACTTTTAAATCAATGCATTAGCAAAATTCATTAAGAAAAAAAGCCATCACATACCATTTTTACCATATAATATAACTACTCATAGTAACATATCCACCAAATTTATGAAACTTTAAACCAATTTAGCAAATCCCAGATAAAATTCTCCCCGAATTTACATATTATAGATGAAATTAATCACACCCAAATTAAAAAGATGATTAATTTGGCGATAAATTCAAATACCTGAACAGTATGAGACTGAATACTGAGAACACGACCAGTCTCAGAAGGCAAAGCAATCGATAGAATGGGAGGTTGCGCCATTAATGATTTCTTCGAACTTCTCTTCCAATTATTTAACCTGGTCAATTCACAAAGAAACCCGCGAAAATCAATCAATTTCAAACAATTCAATGTATACAAATCATAATGGATAAGGGAATTAAAAATACCCATCAACAAAAGAAAAAAAAAAAAAAAAAAAGGGTCACCTCAAATTTAGGGTTGGTGGGATTTTCGAGGATAAAAAGGCTGAGAATCAATGAGCAAGATAATTGAAGAAGAGTATGAGTTAGACATTTAATTAGCAGAGGAGTCCATTTTTTTATTCAAGTTCTTCAGTCTTTTTTGTTTTTCTTGGTGAGAAACTTGACTGGATTGATGGAGTATTATTAATGTATAATTAGTGAATAGTGATTTTGCTAAATGTCAATGGAAATGAAATCATGACAACATTTTTTAATTTGTCACCAACCAACTATTTTAGGAAATTTCCAACTGCTTACCTTTCTAATCATACATTATTTCCATTCATGCACATAAAACTTTTGTGAAATTTGATTTGAAGTTTGTTGCATGTTACTGACTCCGTTTTTTTAAAGTTTTTACTACGAATTTTGAATATATGCATTTTGTAATCTACGGAATATTTTGACGAAAAATTAATTAAATGGTAATCACCCTTCTTTGGTTGGTAAAAAAGACTCTTATCAGGTACTTGGAGTAAAGAGGAGGATAATGTTATGGGTCCAGCCAATTAAAGTAAAATGTATCTTGTTTTGGTGCATTTACTTGGTCCATTTTTATTACATTTTACTAGCTTGAATTAAGTCCAATTTAGGGACTTAAGTTGTGGCTTCTTCTAGAAGTTTTTGGGATGCCTTTTGTGGCTTCTCTTGGAAGCTTTAGATGGGAAATCTTGTGGTAAACGAGTGACCAAGTGAGGCAGCTAGTAGCTGAGGATATACACACACAAAAATAGAGAAAGAGTTAGAGTTCTTTACAAGAGCTTTCAACTTCGGAGATTTTCTGGGCAGCCTTACAAAACTAGTTGTTGCCGGAGTTTTCACCGTTGGATCATGCTCAAATTTTGGCAGCTTGTTCCAGACATCAAGGGCTTTATTTTGGACGGTTAGATCGTCGTTTTGAGCTCTGTTTTGGTCTCAGTCGTCTCTGGACAGAACTGCTGTCTTTTGGGTGAATTCTACTCTTTTGCTCTCTAGTTTTCAATCTCTTATTGTTTGTTGTTGCTGGTGGGTTGTGAATTGTTGTGAACTATATTGGGTTCATTTTACCCTCAATTTTATCATCAATAAGAGAATATTAAGGGTGGACTCCTCAAGAGGTCTCGTGGTTATTATCCTTCACATCGAAGGGGTTTTCCACGTATAATTCGTATGTGCTGCTCACATTTTATTCCGCTTATCATTGATGCTTTGTGAGTGAAATATTGCTGTCCATATTTCATATTCTTGTTGTGTGATATTTTGGGTTGATTGGTTTGGATATTTGGTTAGTTGTTGAGTTGGTGATTCTGTGAGTGTCGTAGTGACCTCTTCCGATCCCTACAGATAAAAACACCTTCACTTGGTATGATTTATACCCCATGCATCTAAGATCTTAACTTAAGGGTCATTTGTCAATTGAAAAAAGCCATTTTCATGTTTGAGAATTGCATGTGTAGATTTACATAAGTTGAGGCAAGGGAAAGAGTTGTGGCTTTGCCAACCACGACATTCTATATATCTTTGTTGAAGGTGCGTACCTTCACCCCAAAAATATCATAAGTTGATGGAGACATCCCCACAAGCATAGTTTGAGGGAAGCAGTGGTCTTACGCTCGATACCATCTTCGAGTGTAATTGAGGATAATGGCATCGATGAAAAAAAATAAAAAATGAAGCCATCGTTTGTGAATGAGAATGAAAATGCCTTTGTTGATGCAAATATTGATCCTGTCCACCCGCCGCAAGAATCTACCTACATCGAACAAAGTGGGTTCTGAAGAGAAGGATACTAGTTTGCTAGTTCCTAGGAAAGACTCCATTCAACCTTCAATAGAGTTTAAGAACAAGTCCAAAGGAGGGAAAGCTTTTCTAAAGTCATGAACTCATGGTCGTTACATCCGATCTTCAAAAGAGGAGATTTAGAGAAGGGATTCGAAAACGAAGCAAGAGTTTGTATTGTACTTTAACCACGTCTATCCTATCATAAAATCTAATTTCCATGCATGTATAAAGAGAAAGGGCGGTACACGCATAAATCTCTTTGGATATCCAAGGAAAAAGCTTAATTTTAGTTTATGTGTTTGTATATTCTAATTTTAAGTGTCGGTGTACTAGCTGTATTTAGCGTAAGACGGCTCAAAATCTAGCAAGTATCGTTAAAGATGAAAAATAGTTTTTTTTTTTTTTTTTTTTTTTTTTTTTTTTGAGTGAAGAATGAACAGTAGTCTTTAGTCTTTTTTCTTTTTAAGTAAAACGTTAGGCAGATAAATTTATTGCAAATCAAGTTCCGTCAAAGTTAATACGAATCATAGTCTTGTGTCTTGTTTATTTACTCTGTTGAAATAAAAAAGAAAAAAGAAAATGGATTTTTGACTTTTACCACAAAAAAAAAATCAAAAAATTGTTTTTACCACCAAAACTTCTAAAACTTTTATTTTACCACCAAAAAAAAATTCAAAAAATTATTTTTTACCATCTACCGTCTAGAAAACCGTTAAATCTAACGGTTTGAAAAAAATCTTCGATTTTTATGCGCAAAACATGTTCTTCATAGGTTTAAGGGGACATTTTGGTTTATATTCGATTTTTATGGGTCCAATTTGAGGTCAAAATTGACAAAAAATGATCGAAAATGCTTTGTTTTCAAAATTGACAAAAAATGATCGGAAATGCTTCGTTTTGCATGTTTCACGCAAATTGAGGTATTTTTTAGTAGGATAAACGAGCCATTTACGAATATTTTTTGTCAATTCTGACCTCAAATTGGACCCGTAGAACCAAAATGCCCCCAAAAACTATGTGTTTGGCACGAAAATCGAATCATTTAAAAAATTCCGTTAGGTTTACCAGTTTTTTTGACAGTTGATGGTAAAAAATAATTTTTAATTTTTTTTGTGGTAAAATAAAACTTTTAGAAGTTTTGGCGATAAAAAATAATTTTATTTTTTATTTTTTTTGGATAAAAGTAAAAAAAACGGATTAAAAAATTTGACTGTAGTATGTTTGTGCTTCATTCTTGAAGATAGTATTTTTACCGAGTAGTGAAGAACTGAAGAAGTACGAGTAATAATAATTCTGCAACAATTTATTAACCCCCGAATAAATTAGAAATCAAAAACCTCCATTATCGAACACAATATCCTTCATTTTGCCAAACAATGAAGCGCAAGAAATGGTCAGAAATCGAAGAAAATACCCTTCTCACCAAATACGCGGAGCTCCAAAATTCTGGGACTTTATCAAAGTTAAGAACCCGATAGAAGAAATTCAAGCCAATTGCTGATCATTTGAACGCAATTCATCATCTTCAAGATCCGATTAACTACCCATTTAAGTGGTCATGGCGAGATGTATCGATTAAGGTCCAAAATATGAGGCATCAGTATTTGGGGGTGAAGCAGAAAATTAGGGTTTCAGATGGGGATTTTAATTGGGATGATGGGGAGAATCATTGGGAGAATTTTATCAAGTATAAGGAGGTTTTTGGGGATGTAGAGCTTGAATTGAAGGATAGTAAGAAATTGGGTGTTGGAGATTTTAATGAAATTGGACTTTTTGGGGGAAATGGGGATGATGGGTTAGGGTTAGGGTTTGAGATTGATTGTGATGAATTTGAGGAGGATGGTGAAGTGGGTGAGGAAGAGGAAGAGGAAGAGGAAGAAGAGGAGGAGAGAGAAGGGGGGGATTTTGTTTGTGGAGAGGAAGAAGAGAATGAGGGGAAGAGTGAGAGTTTGAGGAAGAAATTGAAGAAGAGAAGGATTGCAATGTTGGGTGCTAGGGTTGTGGAGTTGAGAAATGTTTTGGTGAAGAGGGATGAGAGGAGGAAGGAGAGAGAGTTTGCTAGAGAAGACGGGTTGGCGGTGAAGGATGGAGGGAGGATTGAAATGGAGAATTTGAAGGAGAAGAGGGAGAGGGAGGCAGAGGAGAGGGTGGAGGAGAGAGAATTGGAGTTGGAAGAGATGCAATTGAAATGGGCAAGAAAGGAATTTGATAGGAAGTTGAGGTTTGAGAGGGAGTTTGATGAAGAAAGGCGGCGAAGGATGAAGATGGAGGAGAAGAGGGAGGAAGAGGAGCTTGAGTGGAGGGAGAGAATGTTGAGTTTGCAAATTGAACATGAGAAGCAAACAATGCAAATGCATGCTGATGCTTGCCAAAACCAGTTGCAAATTCTCGGGATCATGGCACGGTTTATGTGTCAGTTTTTCGGGTCATCCGGTGATAGTTTGGGCGGTGGACTAGGTGGTCTTCCTCCCCAGGTTTTACAGAATCTGCAACACCCAGGAGCAGGAGACTTGGGGGATAACAGCAAGCCTGGGTCCAATTCTTCTCCAGAGTTTATGTGAATGGTGATTAACCTCTTTTTTATTTTCTTTCTAATCCTTTATTGAGATCTTGTATTGAATTTGCTGTTAATGCAAAATTGGAAATCTATAGTCTGTTAATTCTGCAGCCTGCGTAGCCTATATTAAAGGTTCTTGCAAAACATCAAGTCTGTTTATTAGGAGCATACCTTTGTGAACAATTCTGTAGTTGCAATCATAAGATTTGTAACTTATATGGCGATTAAAACCCGAGAGCACAAAATTGCCTAGTTATGACATCTATACTTTTTCTAACATGTTTACGTCCATATATAGTAGAGGAACTACATGGGTGCTGGAATTACTATTTTTTTCATCTATTCGTGCTGTGGGACGTTAGAGAAGATCTCATACAGTCATACATAATGTGATTGGCTTAGGCAAATTTTTACCCTTGCTCTATTGATGTTTGCGGTGAAGAAGTGGCTTGTGCTTGCAAGGCAATGTGATGTGTATTTATAGCCAATATTAACATGCAACAAGGAACTAGAAAGTGGAGGAGAACAAAGAGAGTTTTTATTTAAGGGTTTGAAAATATTAAACTGTGATTAGTATATTCCTTTGACATATGGCTTTCTCGCTGAATTTTTTTAAGCATTTGAAAGTATTACAGGATCACTGGGTGATGAATCTGATGTTATACAGATTAACATGGCCTTTAATGTGAGAAGACTTTATAAGTAGTGTAGCTGGATCAGTCCTCGTGTTTTATTAAGTACAGTTTCGTTGTTTATGGTAATTCTGTGGATGCAAGACTTGCAACCCAACAAATATGTAGTTTGTTGTTTTTATGATGGTTCTAATTTACTTTGAATTTGATCAATGATTATTGACTTACTGTGGATTTGTGGTATAGCTGTTATGTTTAAAGATAAAATACTTTATGTATTTGATCAATTTGCCATCATTTATGGCGATTTCCTGATGTACTGATGTCCTTCTAACCCCATTTTTTTTATCTGCATCGAACTACCCTCCCACCTAGTTGATTCCTCTTCTGCAATTTGTTGACCCTTCTCTCTTTTTTATTATTATTACAGTTTATTGAAGGCTTAAGTATTACGGTTGATGACAATAAACTGTTCAAGAAGGCTTCTCATGTGTGTTATGCTGCTGCTGAAGCTCTTTAAGCTGATCATACTTTAAGGTATGCCATCTTTGCATTAGATTACCTCCTCCCCTGTGTCTAGTTTTAAAGCACACTTAGAAATTGGAATCTTATGTTCTCTCTCTCTTTTCGAGCCTTGTTTTACTTCCTTTTCTCTGTTGCTTTAATTATCATGTTTCATACCCTGTTTCCTTTCGGTTTCCATCCTTTGTGTTTTCTTTCCTAACATATTTTTGGGTTGGGGTATCAAACACTTTTTTCTTCTGTAAAACTTTAAAAGAAATTTTGAGCTATATGGGTTAAATGGTATTGCCTATTATAGGCTTCTTATGGCCTTTCAAAACTGAAACTTGAGGGCATGCCAATATAATCGTTAAAAAAAAATAAGCTCATTCTATTTAAAATATCGCTTTGCCTTATTTTTTTTCCAAGTTGAAATTTTACTGCAATAGTATATTTATTTAATTTATTTGGCCATTATACTCTTAGTTTCTTGAAGCTCTTGCTTAACCCGTTGTCGTTTTAACACAATTTTTGGGTTTCCGGTGCTCTCATTGAAAATTTGTGCAGTGCATGCATTAGGTGCATGATTTGTTGGTTTTCCCTATTTGTTGTTATTGTTGGCTATGGTTGAATTGTGCACGTAATATGTGCGTAGTATATTATCTCAACTCAGAAGTCTGTGGAAGAGGGGATTGAATTAATTATTTTATTGAATTTTCTGCTTAAACACTAGGCTAGATGTGGAACCTTCATGGAGTAGCACCTTGGTTTAAGGAGATTTGAAGAGTCATTATCTGAATAGTTACTTCATGAAACCTCCAAGGGTTCCAACTAATCATCGTAAATGTTCTGTTGATTTGCTAGATAGGATCTCCGACTATTAATTGAAATTGCTCTGTTGATTTGCTGCATAGGATCAACAAACGATTAGCCGCATAAATGCATGTTTCCTCCAATCTTTCTCACCAGCCATTCAACTCTTGTGTGACTAGTTTGAAGTCTTTGAACTTTCCTGCCAACTACCAAGGCTTTGTTCTTTTAATCTTTAACCCTTAAATTTAAGGGAATATTATTTCAGACAAGGTGATACAATGTACAATAAGTTCATATAAGTTCGGATCATAAGGGCTCCTTGGTTTATTTTTCAACTATAGCTACGTTCAGATAGGGCTATTCAGGTGAATAGAATAAAGACTAACCATCTAGCTCTCCTGCTAGTCAAATGTGATCATATATGTTTTTAAGTTTCCAATTTCGAAGACTTGACGGAATTTTCCTTCACCTTGCTAATTATTTCATCCAAAATTGCTTAATATTGTAAGATTTTTTAACGACGCAAAATATTATAATTTACGATCCCAAAAACCAATAATTTCAAACATCATGAGACAATAGGAGAGTTTGCTGCATTCAGTCGCATGATGGAGCTGGAATCGTCTGTTGCTGAAAATTCTCTTGGAATGGTAGGAGTCGAACAATTATTTCTGGCAAGAAGACATGCCACACGAACCACAAACTGTAGGTCTGTAGCTCCTAACTGCCAGTCAAACTTGAGTTAGTTGATCCCCCTTTGATACATTGATTTTAGTCCATATCCTTTGCCGAATCCTTTCATGTTTCATCTTTTTTCTTCTGCTAAACTCTGTATTAATCAGGTTGATGATATAATCTCCTCCAGCACTACGTGTTGACCTCAATATGTAAGAAATTGGTGACTGTCAGCAAATCATTTCATATCTGTTATGCTGTATGCTCCTAAATCTGTCAAAGAAGCTATACATACAGAGATGTAGATAGGAAAAGTTAAAGGTCAGAGAAATTATCTACAATTAGTTAAAATTACTTGTTTTGCGCTATCTGGTGGGTGTTGTGAAGTGAAAGATTGTGTCCTTAGCTTCTTTTTTGTAACATCAAGTTTATGTATACGATACTGAATTTGACTAGAAATTACGAACATATTGTATTTTTCTATTATGATATCTTTAATTACATATTAATAATAGATTGGATGCTTAGATACTCCATTCTCTCATCTAGATTGTGATCAATGTTTTGATAAACATGTCGAGAAAAATGATATCTTATCAAATGAGAAAGAGACATATTCTAAATAATGTTTTGAAATCAGTGAATGGTAGTCGATCGATCCCTGAACAACTAGTCAACCATATGCCTTGTCCACCAGTCATACTTGCGACAAATACATTACAGTACAGAAACCCAATAGTAAGTTTTTGTGAAATTAGTATAGTGTGCACGGGTGCACCATGCGCATGGTGCATCCGGTAAAACTAATAAAGGCGGAAAGAACATACTAGTGTTTGAAAAAGAACATACCTATGTAGGCTATGTTTGATAAAAAAACATGTTTGTGTTTGACAAAAAACATGACATTACAAAGAATATAAAATCTTTACAAAAAGAACATGATAATATATTTAAGAACATGTTCTTTTTCATGGTTACTCAGGTAGTTGAATGTGTTTGAAAAAGAACCTTATGTTTGATAAAAGAACATGTTTGTGTTTGACAAATAATATGTTTGTATTTGACAAAGAACATTACGTCTTTACAAAAATAATATGATAATACATTAAATAATATGCTACGTATTCTTTTTCGTGGTCACTCAGGGTGGTTGAATTTAACAATTTTTTTTTTTAATATATATGTTTATACATTAAAGAATATATTGTATGATGTAAAGAACATATAGTTCAAACTCAAAAAACATTATAATCAAACTCAAAGAACATATTATACTCGTGTTCTTTATAAATGTCTATAATGTTCTTTTTTTTCGCCTATATTCTTTAAAATATGCCTAATGTTCTTTCCGGGTGCACCAACCACGCATTATGTTTTGAGGTATTCTTCAAAATCCTATCATAATTATATTATTTTTATTAATTTATCTATTTACTTCTTTATTGTGTATGTGTAACAATAAGTCCCAAGTTCAGACAAAGCTGAGATATGTCAAGATGAGGAGGACCTTATCATCAAGCTCCATGCTCTTCTCGGCAATAGGTACATTTTCTCTTCACTTCACTTAATTATATATAATCTTCGTCTTTAATCTCTATCCCTTCAATAAATGAATGAATTTTGAGTACGTGTTGGACACATAATTACGTGCATCTAAGATCGATTTAGACTTATATATCATACCTAAGCTATGATTTTACATAAATATAGAGTTATAATATAATCTTAATTTGTGACATTAGTTAATTAATAGTTGCTTAAATTAGAGAATATGTAAATGATACGGAGTCGTCCTTAGTATTATATGTATGTATTTGTTGTTAGGTGGTCATTGATAGCAGGAAGGTTGCCAGGAAGAACAGACAACGAAGTGAAGAATTAAGGAAGAAGCTAATTTGCATGGGAATTGATCCTAATAACCATAAACTCTATCATCATCTTCCCCATCAACAAAAAATTCCACAGCAGCCACTAGGGTCTCCCATCGCGATTTCATCTGAATCGAAGAAGGACGATGGTAATGCATGTAGTAGTAAGCCATCATTGAAATCTCATGGAACTAGTGCTACTTATAATAATGATGATGACATGAATGGAAAGAATTACGCGATAGCTTGCACTGGGGAAGAGACATCGCCTATGTTGGATTTGAACCTTAAGCTCGCCGTTGAGATGCCCTAGCATATATTTTCTCAAAGAGTACTTGTAACTTGTTAGGGAATCAAAAGACGGACTGGTAAGTACGTAGATATTAAGAAAAATATTTATTATTTCTCTTGGTGTATATCATATCATCATATGTTTGGTGTATAATTATTGTGATATTATTATTAATTATGGCATGTAAAAGTATCTTTGTTGACAGTACCATTTTTTTTTTTGAGCAAATTTATAGACAATACCACTTGGAGGATTAATCTTTGATTTATCTTTTGAATATGTTGTCAAACTTGTCATAGATTGTATTAGGCTTTAATCCTCTTGCAATACCGCACACAAATTTTTTGCATTATTTCATTAATATTATTAACAATCAGTTTCCATTATTAATAGTCTACATTCACTACAATTATTATTTTACATGCATGCATTCTCTTGATAATTTGATATCTCCAATAATATGTGGAGTAATATGTAAGTTGAGAAGTATTGATACTTAATTCTCAGAATTTATTTATTTTTTCGTTATTGTTAAGAGAGGCATTAGGGCGAGTGATGAGAACCGATCCCACGATCACCTGGAGTCGAGAGGAGAACTCTAACCACTTGAGCTATCCCTCACTCTCATACTTGATTGTCAGATTAAATGTATAGTTAACCCTATATCCATCAAGGAGTTCACCTTATTTTTGCTTATCTAACCTTTTTTATTATTATTTTTTTATTTTTTATTTTTACAATTTTATCTTATTTTTTCTTATCTGATCTAATTAGAATTTAATCTTTTTGATCTGATCTAATATAATTTATTGTCTAATTGACCTTAAACATATGCCAATCCATGAGAAGAAAATTTCAATTGAGACATTATTAGGTTTGTAAAAATGTGTGTTTTTTAATATAGAATTTTCATGACTTTTGTCATTAAAGAATTAAAAATATATAGCAATGAAAAATCGCATACAAATTAAAACGACAAAATAGATATGAATTTTTTTTTCTAAACTTTTATTCTAATCTCATCTAAAATAAGTAATAAGGTCCATAAATAAGGGTAAGATTAACACAACCATATGGATAAATTAGCCACCATATACAATAAGCCCATGAGATTCTAATTCTACATATATAAGTAACAAAATCAAGTATTAAAAGGTTAAAATCGATGCATAAGAAAAATAATCAAGTATTAAAAGGTTAAAATCCATACATAAGGAAAATAAACAAATAACAGAAAGTAATTTAATCATATATATATATATATATATATATATATATATATATATATATATATATATATATATATATATATATATATATATATATATATATATATATATATATATATATATATATATACTCCCTCCATTCTATATACTTGGTAATTGGTATAATTGACATACTTGGACGTTTTCACTATTCATATATTAGCTAGCTTTGACTATGATGTTTACTATAACGTAATATAAAAAGATTTATCATGTAAAATGTTGTTTAATAGATATTGATACAACTGTTTTAAAAAAAAAGATATTGGTATAAAGTTTCATAATATCCAACTTTTATAATTTTTGTTAATTAATGTTTGATTATTTATATTTAGGGTAGTAAAGTGCATTTACAAGTGTGCTAAGTTTGACTGTGTCAATTATCATGAAACGAAAAAAGTATATATTATAGTATAAATACACATGTACTCACTTTAACATTTGGTTCTCTTAGCTTATCACTAGCAAATACAAAATTAAAAATCCTCCATCCATAACAACAACACAACAACAAATGGCTCGACTCATGATCAACCACACACTCATCGTGTTCTTAATGTTCGTTACAATGTGTATTACCCGGCCCTCGGTGCTAGTGAGAAGACGCTTTTCCGATTAACTAATGAATTGAGCAAAGGGAAAGACCTTGAATTTCATTGCAAATCTAAGAACGAGGATCTAGCTAGGAATACGAAACCTTAAATCTGGGGAATCCTTTGAGTTCGTTCGAGTTCACAGAAGACCCAAGCACTCTAATATTCTGTGGTTTTACGTTTGATAACACATTGCATAGGTTTGATATCTATAAGTTTTTTCGTGATTCATGTCGTTGCTTAGGTGTATGTCATTGGCAGATCAAAGAGACAGGTCCTTGCATTGAAAATCCTTTTGTTTTTACTTTTACATGCTATGGATGGAATTAGTAAACAAATTATGATTGTCTACAATTACATGCATAGACATATTGTTGTTAGTGTTACAATATTGCAATAAAAATTGTATTTTGCTTGCAAGCTGAGAGGATTTCAAATTTGAGTTCATTTCCAATTATTTGATATATACGGAGTATATATATATTTTTTAAACTCCCTTCATTACTTTTGTTTGTCTCACTTTGACTTTTAGTCTCACAAAAAAACACAATAGAAAAAATAAAAAGGATTAGAAGGAGTATTTATGAGTCAAAGAAGAGGTTGTTTACGATTTATTAATTTCTTGTAATAAATGTTAACACACTACTACATTTAAGGGCTAATGCAACGCCCAATTCCGTTGCATTAGAGCCCTAAAACCGTCGCAATAGGGTTAAAAAAATACAGAGGTAGAAAAAAAAAGTTGTTGTATTAACTTTTGATGCCGTTGTATTTGCCCAATCTAATGCAACGGCATTTAATGGTCCGTTGCATTAGATACAACACATGATAGACCGTTGTGTTAGCCTATCATTGCGTAGTATTATCTTACCTATTGCAACGGCATTAGAGAGGGCGTTGTATTAGCTCATTTTTGGAGGTTGCATTTGATTAAAAATGTTGTAGTGATACTACGCAATATCCCAGATGATATAACATTATAACATAATAATAAATGCATAAATATGAATTACATAATGTTCATTGTAAAAAAACAGTTGTATCATGCACCCACATGATACAAGCAACACTATTAAAGTATTGAATACGCTATTCTGTTATTTCCATATACTGTGCACATCATCACATTTACTAAATGTAAATACATGGCAAATTAACAATACCGCATTATAACTTATTTTATCTAAACTTATATAAATTCATCTTTTTAAAAAAATAAAATAATTTAGAGACATAAGCTAACAAGCGCCCCGTGGCGTTAGATAAGAGAACTAAAAGTGAAAATATTAAGTAAAAAAACAATAATTACACTGATGTGTGATTTTGGCATACATACATTTCAAAATTAATACTATATTTAAATTAGATTATATATTGGAGTAATTAGTTATTTACCAAAATCCTAATAAGATAAATAATACTCTACGAAACAGACCCTTAATTCATTAGGGTCGAATATGATAAACACCAAATAAATGTGACTTAAGGTATTTTTTTTTTTTTTTTGGCAACGTAAGGAGTACAATTTTTTTAGGCAACGTACGGAGCTGTACTATTTACCCTTTTTTTTTTTTTTTTTTTTTGAGAAAAAGAGGTACTATTTACTTATTTAGGGATGAGGAATGCTTTAAATGTGTATTTAATTTATCATCCAAGACACCTTGCACAAAAAACGTATATCATCTTCACACAAAAAAAAAAAAAAAAAAAAAAACCGTATAGCATCATCAACATCTCTGATCTAATCTTGAACTTCCCTTATATATACTCAATTTGAATAAATCTATTCATCACACCATAATTTACAAAAATAAAAAAATAAAAAAATGGCTCCTATCATAATTATTAAGCATACACTCATCACGCTAATGATGTTGTTTACTTTGCTAATAAGCCTTAGCGAGGCTGACAACGTTCGAATTATCAACAGCTTGAGTCATAACAAACCTCTTTTAGTTCATTGCAAATCCAAGAACGACGATCTAGGTGTACGAAAACTCGAAAAAACAGGAGCTTACTTCGACTTTAATTTCGGGAGAACTATAGTCACATTATTTTTCTGTGGTTTTGTATTTGATAACAAATTGCATTGGTTCGATATATATGATTATGATCGTGATGCATGGCGGTGCATTGAGAAATGTTGGTGGGAGATCAAAGAGGATGGTCCTTGCTTGCTTGATAAATTAACTCTTTGCCATGGGTGGAATAAAGATTAAAGCTTAGCTTGCATAGCAATTTAATCTCTATGCATATGATTTGTCATGTATGTATTCACATAAGAATGGAATAAAATGCTGCAAAATAAAAAACAGCTCCTACTTTATTTTCTGTTGTCGGTTTTCAAAATTAATTCGTATGATTACTACTAAATACAGTACTAATACATAGCTATTTATAATATGTCATAAGACTCACATTGAATGAGAATTTTTAAAAGGTTAAGAAGAACTTTATTGGACAAGATTGGATTAAGGCCAAACCCTCAAAGTTGAAGCCTTGAAGGTAATAAAACCCTTAATTTAAGGCCAAAATGAGCCTAGATATTGAATGAGAAAAAGTTACTAATAATCCTGTTAAACAGAAATTAAGTGTACATATAGATAACATTATAGCCTAATCCTCATCAATTTTAACTAATGCTTCAATTCCGCCGTTCATCTATAACCAATAGTCACTAAAGTGTTATTTGTATATATTCTGTATAATTTTTTTTTTGAAACAAATATATTCTGTATAATAATCGAAACTATATTTGGAAATATATAATATTATACCAAACTCTGAAAAATTAGTCCTAGACAATGGCAAATACTACATACTACATGGATTATTAGATGAACCACAAAACCCCTTAATTTTAATAGGCAATTATCAAGGCATGTATGACTAATCGGTCATTTCTTTTCTTTATCAAAAACAATTCTAATAAACTTGTTTTGATAAAAAAGAAGAATTATACCGCTTCTCTAGAAGCTGAAAATAATACGGAGTATAAAAAATTATAAAATAGATTTCTTGAAGAAGTTGATTTCATGTGATTAGCACTTAATTCTAGCTAAAGACTAACATAATTACTTTCATATGGGGTTTAAAATTATTTAAGCAAAAAGGTAATGTCGATTTCTTTCCCCATCAATTTAGATAAGCTTTTACAAGAAAAAGAGAGGTTTGTGACAGACCATTCATTAGTCAATTAGATACTCCTTTTACTTATATATTAGTTATATAGTGGAGTAAAGTGACTAATGACTATAGAACTATTTTTTTTTTACATAGTTTCAATGGCGGGTGATGAGAAGATCTCCTAAAAAGAAAGCTCTAATAAACACTTGAGCTATCTCTCACTCTCTCATTATAGACCTATTGTGGTTTGATAATTTTTGCTTTTTTTTTGAGATATTTTTTTAGTAGTTATATATTTTCATTTATTTTAATCTCAAAAAAGAATAATTCTTTTCACACCAATGCATGATATATTTTTTTTTAAAAAAAAATTTATTTTATGAAAAATGCATGATTCTTGAGGGATTGGCAATTTAGCAGCATCATGAACATTAAACAGTACAGTACTCTTTTTTTTTTTGGTGAAGAACAGTACAGTACTCTTAATTATCTTTTATTATTATCAATTAAGTTATGATCAAATTATTATGATGTGTGTCACTTAATTTTTTACAAACCAAAATTGAAAATAGTCAAGTTTAGGATTCATGTCGATATTGTATTAGCTTCACGCTTCAAACTCCAGCATGTATTGGGGCAATTAGCATACAACTCATCCATTGAGAATATTGACACTTTTAAAAAATATTCTTTAGAGGGGAAAAAAAAAAAAGAAACTGATGGCTTGAAATAACATGTTACATGGCACTTTAAGCCAATTTAGTGAGTTAATTGATGATGAGTGTTTCACTCGTCTTTAAAGTTACTCTCATTTAAATATGTAATTGTCTCATATAATAAATTCAAAACAGAAAGAACTTTTTAGAACAGAAAGAATATTAATTTGAGAAGACAACCACAATAGTTGGTATTCGTGTGAGCTATTCTATGTTGTATTTACCTTATTAATAAGCCCAGATAAGTAATTTTAAGAAGAAAGGAAAAAGATTCTAATAAAAAGGGTTAACAAAGGTTACACTTTTTAAATTATGATTAAAATAAGCTTTAACATAGCTAATTTATAATTAAATGAAAATAAGTGCATAGAACGCAATAATTTTAATATTAGTTTTTCCGATCATAAGGTTTCACAACATTATACATCATGCATGACATGAAGTTGAAGTCATACTATGAATTCCATCCATAAGAATATCATAAATGTTATTACCCTAATAAATGTCAATGCTATTGATCATCGCTGACAATCTAGTGTTTCAACACCAGATCGTAGTTGAGATCAACATTGATTTATTCGCCGCCTCACCGCTATTGCCACTCACCGCTTCATGATTGTCGTTGGTTGTTTGGTTAATTACTTGTTTGCTTTAGCTTCTATGAGAAGCTATACGCTTTAACATCTTAGAGAAGTTTTGTTTTGCTTTTTTAACAAGCTTGTTTTTTAGCATAGGTCTTTATTATTATTTTTTTGTTTTTTAATTTTCTGTATTTTTCTTTTATCTTTCGTCTATTAGTCTTTCCCTGAAATAGGGAGGCTTTTAGATTCTAATAGTCTTCCCTGAGATAGAGAGATTACTAGTACCGTGTACCTTTACAATTTTAAAACAAAAATAAAAAATAAAATAATAATAATAAACAAAAAACCAAACATTACAACACCAAATCTATTCATGTGCATACCATGTGCTAAAATCAAACAGGTAAGTTTTTTCCCTTTAAAAAAAATAAAAAGAAAAACTTTCTTCATTTAATTGCACAATCTCAAAATTCTAAACTAGGTTAAACCATATTAATTTCATTAATTCAAGACACTTTCTCTACACGCCGTAATCTGGATTATGTTGGCGCAAATTAAAACTTATACTCAACCATTTTTTTATATTGCCCACCAAAGTTCGACAAAATGCCAACTCCAAAAACCAATTTGTTTCCATTCACACTTCCATCAAATCATCCTTTTTCTAGAAACCCAATTCTCCCACCATTCAAATATTAATTATTTTTTCATATTCTATCTTATCTGACCTTTTCTGAGGAGAGAGAAACACAAAATTAATGGGGAACAACATGGGTGGAGGAACCAGTAAAACATCAAAAATTATGAAAATCAATGGCGAAAATTTCAAGTTGAAGATCCCAGCTAAGGTTTTTGATGTTATTAAGGATTACCCAGATCATATTTTGTTAGATTCTGAAGAATTTCTTAGGTTCAATCTCAGAGCTAAACCTTTAAACCCAGATTTTGAGCTTAAACCCAGAAAAATCTATCTTCTTGTTGAATTACCCAAATTTCCCTTGAATAATACTTGCAATAATAATACTCAAACCCCACTTAGGAAGGTGAGATCTGGTGTGCTCGCGCCCACGACAACTACGAAAGATTTGATGTCTCGAAGATCTGCTTCTGATGATCTTACTCTTATTACGAGATCAATGGCTGATAATGGAAGTTCAGTGGGTCCTACTAGGGTTAAGATAAAGCTGCCAAAGGCTCAGGTGCAGAGGATTATGGAGGAAAATGGAGACGATGTTGAGGCTGCTAAGAAGATTATACAGCTTTGTTTGGAAGATAACCCGGCCGTGTGCGGTGGTGTTGCGGCGGTGGAGGTGGAGGAGAGAGAAAATGGAGGGGAGGTTAATGTGGAGAGTCGGAGACGTTGTTCGAGTGTTTATGATAGGTGTAGTCCTTGCTCTAGTTACCGCCGTAAGTATAAGAAATTAACCTCCTAGTAAGTTACACGGGTACGGATACAAGTACGAGATATTGAAGAACAAAGTATGAAGTACGTATGTTTATGTGGTTAAGACGTGCCGGTGTTTGAGTACACGCCATCTACTGCTATTAGAAGTGTATGTGAGATAAAATGAAGTGTTAAGTATTGTTTAATTTAGTAGTTAGAGAGTAATTTGTTTTAGGGTTTATGGTTTACTATTACCTCAATTAGATGAGGTTAAAGAAGTGTACAAATTAGGGTGTGAAATTAGGTGCAAATGTATATACTATATAGCGTGGTTGATGCTTTGATGGTATGATTAATGACTATGATCCATTCATGAATTTTGAGTAAAACTTGTGACAAGTCTGAAAGAGTTTCGGCTATTCAATTATGTATTGGATGTTAGATGCATATATGATAATATTGTGTGATTTATGAGCTATGAGCGTGTTTTGTATAATTGTATGAAATGATTGTATATTGTAAGGACAGTTTCTATTATAGACATAATTAGTAAGTTTATAATAGAATTGTGTCAACCAATTTTACATTTTTGTCGTTAGATAAGTTATTGCAAAATATAATCTCTTATAGCCAAACCACTTATACAAGAGTATGTTTTTTTATTCAAACATTTCTCTCTACCGTAAAATGATTATGGTTTTCCTATTTAACAAACTAGCGACTCACATATGAAACCAAGATAACAAACGAAAGAAGTACGAGTATTAATGAGGCTCTACTGTAATATGTTATATGTACATTAGTTCCATTATTTTGACTACTTGGTAGTAAGATTGAATCATCTCACCAACCACAAAAATCTAAGTCAAAAAGGGTTTGCATTCCCGATTTTTTACCAAAACTTTTAAGGATTAAAAAGGTGGAATGAAGCCAGTCAGTGAGCAACAGTTTATATTTTTATTACAGTACTCATCTCAAGTCACTTCCAACAATCTATGAATTTAATTCGATTTAGTGGAAATGCAACTCAAATTCATATAATGCCAGTCTTACATTGAAAAAATGTTTTTAAGGAAAAGGGCCTTTGATCATATTACTAATGAGACTTCATGTCTACCGATATTTATGTTCAAAGTTATAATTTACTCATTGCACCCAAAAAAAATAAAAAAATATGGTTACGATTTATTTCTTTCGTTTCATAATAATTGCAACACTTTCCTCTTACAACCGTTTCATAATAGTTGCAACACTTTTTATTTTAGTAAGGACCCACTACTATTTTATTATTTCTCTTTCCCACTTACCCCACTTGCATAAATATTTAATTATTTTTCTCTCTTACAAACCCCACTTGTACTACTTTTTTTTATTATTTCTCTCTCCTACTAAAAATAAAATATAATCCCACTAATTATACTTTATATTATAAAATTTACCTTATAATCCCTACCCTATAAATGGAGGGAGTATGTCTTACATATCCTCTATATGTCTTTTACGGAGTATACACTACACAAGCAACAATTCTTTTTTTTTTTTTTTTTGAAACATACAAGCAACAATAATTTGATTTACCATCGAAACATACAAAGAGTGTAACAAGTGAAGTTAACTTTTACATACTTTGTACAGAGTAGTTGGAGTTGGTTATTTTTTTTATGGATAAGGAGAATGACCTTACTAAATTGGGATCTATCACAGGTAAACCAGCCTAGTTATGCATGTTAGGCTATTAGGGAATGAGGCAGAAGATAAAGGAATCCCAATTCCCAATCCCAAGAATTGTAACTGGTAGGAATCGAACCCATAAGATGAAACTCATACCCACTACACCATGTAATGTAATACTTGGTGTATAGAGTAGTTGGAGTGACCGAGCCTTTTTGTTTAATTAGACACACACGTTTTACATAGAATTTTGTTTGATGGAGTAGAGCTCATCTTGATAGGGCTTTAATTTTGATTGAATTGTTTCTATAATCTGACGAGTAATGACAATAATCATCACATACTAGTATTAATCTTAAGGAAACTAAGCTATGACAATAATCATCACATACTAGTATTAATCATAAGGAAACTAAGCTAAAATTTTGAAATAAAAAATAATTTGTAGTTTTGTGCATTAGTTATTCAAAGTCATCACATGATGTAGTATTCTTTTGTAACTTGTAAGAGATCACTATATAATAACTTAGTAATTAGCTAGCCAAATGGGGTAATGTCGACTTATTAATTGAAGGAAACTTCTTAAAGTCTTAGGGCTAACTTATATAATTATTGGTTCACGATTGACTTTATTTTATTACTACTTTCTTTTGTTGACTAGAGTATATTTTTGTCAATTTGATTAATTGCTACCAGCAATAAAATAAATAAAAATGAGTACGGGCTACAAGCCGGCCCATGTTTTCTCATTTGCTTTTTAGGCTTTGATCGCAAATTCTTCTATAGACCCGTTCATGTAGAAATAGGTGCATCACGCCTATACTTTTAAACATTTAGTAAAAACATCTAAACAATTGAAAATTTTGAACATTTAGTAAAAAAAATTCGAACATCGCAAATTTTGTACATTTAGTAAAAATATCTAAACAATCGCAATGTACCACGCCTATACTTTTAAACATTTAGTAAAAAAATCTGAACAATCGCAAATTTTGAACATGTAGTATATTAAATACAACACTATATAATAAACATCAATTTTTTGAAAAAAGCTTGTCTGACTCGTAATAATTCAATAGTTTTGTAATATAAACGGAACATTTACTGCATATAAAATGAAGATTTCCTTATAAAATATGAACATATAAAATTGGATGTTTATGTTAATTTTTTGTGACGTGTTCATATTTTTTACTAAATGTTCATTTTTTTGTAAAGTGTTCAATTTTTTTTTTACTACGTGTTCAAATTTAATTTACCTTTTTGCACTATTTTCGTGTTTTTCTTCCATGTCGGTTCGTCAATTTTAAGAGGAGAGAGAATGTGTAGTTCGGCAATTGAAAGAGGGAATGAAAGAATTGAATTTTTCGTCAGTTTTTTTTTTAATTATTATTATTATTATTATTATTTTAAATATGTCTGTTGGGAGCGAAATTAAGAAAGAAAGAAAGTGGGAGTGTTTGGGCCTAGGTTTTTAGCAAGAAATGAATTTTGTAGCGTAAATGGGCCTGTGGTCCAGCTATTCTAGATGGACCAGGGTGCACAATATACTTATTAGGCTTTGATAACTGAACAAACTGTAATGTATAGGCTTCTTATTTGGGCCATCTAGCTTAGTATGCCTTGGGTTTATTAATGTCAAATTGTCAATTTACCACTCATTTTAATACAGTACATCTTAGTTAAAGATGGCAATGGATCTTGGATCCGATCCGGATCCAGTGGATTCAGATCCGTTTTACAGGATCTGAATCTCTAATTTTTGGACCCGTTGGATCTAGATTCGGATCCATTTTAATGGACTGGATCCGAATCTGGATCCTATTTTTGAGATCCGGATCCGGTCCGAATCCGATCCGTGGATCCGTTTTTAATTTTTTTTATATATTTTTTTTATGGTATTGTTTAAGATTCATATACTAATTAAGTTGACTAGTCTTATATAAATATAAACCTACAATTTTCTCTATTATTACATACCTTGTTTGTTATTATTTTATGAATTAAATTTTAATCAATTTTCAAAACAATGATTTAATTCCCGTCAAAATGAAAAATAAGGGGTGAATCATGTAAATATATATTAATTGAACCTATAAATATATATTTTAGCTCCTTTTGTACAAACAAAACTTTTAAAGGTAATAAATTTTTAAAACAAAAATAAAATACATACGAATCCAGATCCGGATCCCAAAATTTTGGATCCGCAGATCTAGATCCATGTCCTTAAAACGGATCTGGATCTGGATCCAATAGGTTCTGGTCCAGATCTGGTCCGTTGCCATCTCTAATCTTAGTGGACTTCTAATTACTTTTCACTTCAAAATAGAGATTGATCTTATTTTATTTTTATTGGCTGTAAGTGAACACAATTTTCTCTTGAGAATCTCTGCATATAAACCAAAGTTCCACGTTGATAACAAGTTTTAATTGAATTAATTTTTCTTACCCATATGTTGCAAGATTGAAAGCCATATTTGGCTTGATCTTGAATAAAAAAATATAAAATCACTTTAAAATATAGCGTGTCCATAAAACTTACACTAACTTGGAAAATTTTAGCTATCAACAATATTCACATAATGTGTTGCCGTGTAAGTCATTTGAATTTAGGAACAATTTTATTTCCTTAGATTGACCACCAATGACTATGAGTCTATGAACATATTTTAGATCTTATTTTTCTTTTAGAAAAATCAAAGAAGGGTTGATTTGTCAAATATTACGATGCAAAAAGTAATTTTGAATTGTACAGAACATTCAAACAGTTGATAATTCTAACTTAAATAATGGTGCAGCTAACAAGACTCTCATTTTGCTTTATTCTTTTTGCAGAGAATTCCATGTACAAAATATTCACACATAAAATTAAAAATAAAAAAAATAAAATAAAAAACCATCCCTAATATCAGATTACCCATTCTTACTTTCTTAGTCTCTTAACATATACAAGTATTTGAGAGTGAGGGATAGTTCAAGTAGTTAGAGCTCCCTCCCGGTTTCAGGTGATTTTGGGATCGATTCTCATTACTCGCCCTTATGGTTCTCTAAACATATACAAGTACTAGTTCATCACAACTTGAGTCAGTGAACAAGTTACTAAATCAAGGCGAGCAGAGGTAACTCAATCCGTAGCTAGTTACATACCAGACTATCCAAGATCGTACCCTAACATTAAGTCTCATGCCAAGGAGGGGTTCGAAACGGGCTAGTTTATCACCTATGTCCCTTAGGTAGGTGGCAAACATGGATCACACCAATAAAGATGAAAAAAAAAAAAAAAAACCTGAGATAATCAACTCTTTATCTGAGCTAATTATCTTCTCCTTAATATTATCGTCCATGACAGAGTTATCAGGCAAAAGATTACCCTCAGAATCATACTCAATCTTGCCAGAAAAATCAAGTGGTCTACATTTCTCGCCTTTAATGATAGTCTTCTTCCAAACGGCATCATCATCAACAATAATATAATCATCATGAGTATTATGTATACTATTTATATCATGATACTCATTTTCTTCATCTCCATGTTGAACTTGTTTTCGCCACGAAACAATCTTCAAAAGAGCCTTACTACTAATACTATTAGCTTTTGAAAAGCTTTCAAGCAAGTTTTTCTTGCTAATTGAAAGTTTTTTCCTAGTGAAAGCCTCCTCTTTTTGCCTCTTGTGTGATGCACATAAAAATGTTACTAGAGAAAATATAGACAAGATCAATAACACCGCGAAAACTATGTAATAAGTAGAAAATATATGAATTGGAAGCGTTGATGATACTATTTGAAGAGGCCTTGCCATAGCTAAGAATTGATGTTCTTTTGATGAATTGAAGATGATTTAATTTAAGGTTTTTTGAAGGAAAATTAAAATGTTTTTTTTTTTTTTTTGCAAAGAATTAAAATGTTTGTTAGGTATTAGTGTTATGTAGGTTTATATATATAAGGGAGAATGGTATAAAATCAAGGGGTCTTTTTTCAAAAAGTGGAGTGATGAACTAATAGTGGCGTGAGATTAGGGAGGCTTATATTGGTTGTTTGACTGACTAAAGTCTACTCCCTCCGTCCCTTATTTTTTTTGCCCCATTTGACATATCACGGTATTCAAAAAGCGTCTTTAAACGCATATATCTTTATTTTTATAAGTGTAAAAATTATAAAAACTAGATATTAATAAAATATACAACGAGATGAATCTAACAAACCCCACTTGACTATTTAATATCTTGTATATTAACGAGAATTAATGGTCAAAGTTATCAAAGTTTGACACAAATATTAGCAATGGGGCAAACAAATAGGGACAGAGGGAGTAGTACTCTAGTCTAGAAACTCGCTTCTTACTGATTTTAAATTTTGAATTTTTTGTATTTAAAAAAGAAAACAATTTTTTTTTTTTTTTTTTACAAGTAAAAGAAAAACAATTTCTGGATCAAAGACATAAATTACTTAATAGGAGTATGTTCTTATGATTTTCTTTATTTACCACAATTATGTCACATACTCACATGTATTGTCTGTTCTATAAGAGAAAATATTTAAGTTTTAATGTAATTGTTTCTTAGTACAAGTCTTAGATTATGGGGGATTGGGGGTGTAGTTGAATATGTAGGGTAAAGAGTAATCGAATTGTCGTTCTAAATCTCGTAATTGTCACCTCCATTATAAGATAAAAATAGTACATGTACTTTATAAAAGAATAGTAGTTTGAAATCGAATGTAACTAATTGAGATACATTTATTAAATTTACGGTTCATAGAGTTTATAAACTGATTATGGGCTTTAACCAATCAGCTTAAGTTTTTGGTTGAATTGGTTTTCTAACATGATGTAGTTTTTGGTTGAGTTGGTAGTTTAACATGGTATCAGAGTTAGTGTGATACAAAGGTCACGGATCCGAATCTCATCCACCCCTCATTTCAAAGTGGAAAATTAAGCGCAGGGTAAGAGGAGGGCCCATGTTGCATCCACCTTTCAAGCCCTACGGGCTCTTGTATGAAAGAGCGTGATAGAGTATAAAAATATATTTCTAGACCTCAACTATCAGCTTAAACTTTTGGTTGAGTTGGTCCTTTAACAATGGTAACTAAATCTGCTACAATATTAGGGTAATTAATCAAACTCGTTGTTGTATACTCGTATCAAACTAATCAAATACTTAATTTAGATTGAGCACTACAATTTAGGAGGTTAGATTAATGGCCATGAAAATTAATTTACAAGTAGCTGAAGTCACTTTCGATAGTAGTGTACTAGCGTGGTTTATTCGTTATACACGACCCCGGTTGACTTAAGGGTAGACCTTATCTTGTTACCTATAATACTTATTGGCTATGTATTTTTTTTTTTCCGGAAAATGATGGAATGTAGTTAGTTATACGGGTGGATGCCTTTGGACGAAGGTATTTGAATAAAAAGGTTGCTGCAACTCATTAGAAATTTATATCTTACCTCGTAACGATTATGATTATTACGGAGTAGTATATGTTTAAGTTCAATCATTATTGAGAAAATAGATTTAATTTACAAAAGTAAAAAATTAATTAGCTCCGAAAATATGCTTATAACTTTAATCACTACACTTTTAGACTTGTTAAATTTGTGATAGAAATTAGAAAAGGAAAACACTATGAAGCTAGTTCTTTGTGTTTAACTGAAAAAGAATAGGTGTTTGCACGACTTATTCTACATCGATCGAAATTATCAATGATATAATCCATATATTGTTGCAAGTAAGGTATTATAGATTGCAATTGTGAAAGGATTCAAACATGATAAAGCAGTCAAGATCGAGTTCGCCTTGGGTATCACTCGTATCAGTGTATACTTTTGAGATTCGACCACTAAAAATGAAGACTTTGTGATCAATTGAAACCGTTCATAATGTAGAATAATGATTGCTTAGAACAGATTATATACACTTTTAAGCAAAGTTCGGTTATCTCTACCAACTACAGAGGTGCTCTTTACATCCATAAGCATTAACACAACCAACTTTCTATGTGCCCCTCAACTGCCCAAGGCCCCCAGTGAACCCTTTTGTAACTACTATTCAGTAGTACTTAATATACAACTTATTTATGGTATCGTTTGTGCTACATCAACCCCACTTTTGGTAAATTGTAACAAAAAAAAAAAAAACAAAACTACACTAAGGAAGGAAGTTGAGGCTCCGAACATATACTTAAAAATTGTTATAAGCTAATTGACAATAGACTTGAAATAAACCTGAACCGGATGCAAATGATCTAACTTGGTTACCGGGAAGGTAATAGGGAAGCTGCTAACCAAGGCGTTTCTCAAGGCAATCGGATTGATCTTATTCAAGTCCCCTCTTTGACCCTAGGCCGTAGTCTTCATGATGATGTAGTAGCTAGTAGGTGTAGCTTTTCCCCGTTTTATTCCCCCTAGTTTTCTTTATGTGTTTTTTTGTTTTCTTTGGGGCTTAGCCCCTCGTTTGTAACCAAAAAAAAAAAAAAACATCTAAAAATCTAACTTGGTTGAGTCATAATTCAATATGATATGAACTGAACTTGGTATGAAAGTTTGTTAATAAGAGGCGGACTGTAGTACCACTACTAGTTTCAGAGCCGCTTGTATAATTGGGCCTGATAGTCTACTTTGTAAAATGGCCTATGACCCAATTTCGAAATAGTGCACACATCAGTACAGCACAATTAGGCTGAAGTGGTCAAATACAAATTCATCGAGCATTTCTTATTTGCATTACAAGGCTACAACTTGTTCATGTGTCAAAATTTAGCTTACTCGAGGAAAACGACAACCCAAACCAAATAATTCAGTGAATAGTATAAGGCAAAAGCTAATTAGCTCTCCGGCGTTAGATAAGGTGAATACAAAACAGAAATTCTTATTAGCAATAAATGATAAATTTTATTTTAGTAATTACGTTTAATTTTATACTCTAATTTCCTGAAAATTAATTACATTCTACCGTAAATAGCACAGCTTTTCCGACGGGGTTGCCTCTTCCCCTATTTTCTTTCTTTTTCCTTAGGGTTTTCATTTTAATTTCGACTGCAAAGCCGTCGAAGTCATCACTAGCGGTAAACAAGGAGAACAATAAAGCAACACTAATTCATAAAGATAAGGACAAACAAAACATCCACTCCTTAAATTGCATTTCATTGTCATTTGTCACCACATTTACACGATTGAAAATAAAATCAAAAGTCAAACATTAATAGACGTAACACAATTAGAACTAGAAGTAATCCAAAAAATTATAAAAATTCCAACAAAGGATAAGCAATTAAGCACTAAACAATTTTATTTTTTTTTTACCGATGAGAAGTTACAACATTCGGAGTAGTAGAGGTAGAGCAGTACACAAAACCCGAGAGGTCGAGATCAAATCCCATCTACATCATATAACCGACATGAGTCCCTCAGTCCCTCTCCATCGAAACATAACACAAATACAGGTACTGGTAGCTTAGTTGTGATGATCAAATAGGAATAGCATTAGAAACTTTAGGATAAACAACAGAAACAGGATGACCCATGATTCTACGACCTTTGGAGTGGTTAAATATGTAAACCACCGCTCCCACCGGCCACTCAATAATCGCCGTGACAACAAACGCCAAGAAACCTAGCGTTGGGCCCACAAACTTGCACCTACATGGATTATCCCTCGTCCCACATTGTATACATACCGGCGCCCCTGTCATCTCTGTTCTTTTTCTTTCTCTCAAGCAAATTATCGAACACTTGGTAGTATGCACGGTAAAATAAAACCAGAAATTCAAAGTATCTTGTAAGAGAATGTACAAGATTTTTGTATATTTATGATATAATATGTAGGTGATTATTTTTAAATGGTAAGATTATTAGATAACTGAGTTACATGGTAGCTATGACAGGTGTTTAATGACTGGAGCTTATCTTATTACGTGTCAGTTGCTCCTTGATTCTACTTTCCACTCTGTGGAAATTTTCTTTTAATTAATGATTAATTAATTGTAGAAATAAATTATTAATTGGCCCTTTAAATAAAGTTTCGTTAGAGAGGTCGACATACTTTCCAAAAATATAAATCTAGAAAGATTGGTCGACATATTTGGGTGATGTCGACGTTGTAGCACGGCCCAACATTAATTGAAGAGTTAAGCCAACAATATTAATATGGCTGAATATGTATTGGACTGGTCCTTTACGGCAAAAATAACAATATTGGTTAAATAAACGTTTTTAGTTTATCATGAAGGTAAACTTGTACTTTCTCAAATAATTGTCAACTAATAGCTAATAGAACTTAGCCTTTAAATTTGTTGTTGATTAAATGGATGTTAGACAGAATATAGTGTAATGCTCCCTATACCTTACTCCCACTTTTCCTAAATACAAATCTAAACTTAGGTTTTGTTTGACATATATTTTTCAAAATCATATGATATATGTCATATAATAAATAAAAAATTAGTCAAATTTATTAAAATCATGGTAATTAAAAAAACTCTTTTGAGAGATGGTAGATCTTCAAACAACAAAAACTAACACGACTAATAGGTAATTTGAAAGCAACTAGCAAGGTAGTAAAACCAAAACAAACCATGATCCAAAGCGTCTATGAAGTGTTCCTATTAAAGCAATTAGGATGTCATTCATCCAACATCTATTTTCAATTACAAAACACATATGAAGTACAATACCATAATTAGATAAACCTAAACACTTACTACTTCGTATAACATTCCAAGTTTGCAACTAATACTACAATTAATACACTTATAATCTGATCATAAGTACATTTTTAATAAAACTATATCAATAGTAATCCCATCAAATGGGAATAGCATTAGTAACAGAAGGATAAACCACAGAAACAGGGTGACCCATAATCTTCCGACCCTTCCGATGCTTAAACGGGTAAACCAACGCACCCAACGGCCACTCCACCACCGCCGCCACCACAAACGCTAGGAACCCAGCAGTGGGTCCCACTATCTTACACCTACACGGGTTACTTCTGGTCCCACACTCCACACATATTGGCACCCCCAACATCGGCATTCTTCTAACTCTTCTTTTTCTTTGAAACAAATGATCGAACACTTGATGTGCGTATTTAGAGAAAAAAAGATGATTGATTAAAAGTTAAAAGTATCTTGAAAGAGAAGGAACAAGTGCTTCGTAAAACAGGTGGATTATGAGAGAGATTTTTCTGAAGATTGTGATATGGTATGCTAATCGTAACATGGTTTTATATATTTTTTCAGAGTTTTGGAAAGATGATGATTATACAGTTTTTTTTTTTTTTTTTTTTTTTTTTTGAGGAGATGATTATACAGTTTTATTTTAATGGAGGTTTTGAATTTTTCGATTTTTTTTTTTATTTTTGGGGTTTTGATATTTTGGGAGGTTTTGAGGAGGCGGTTACACGTGTCTGATGATGAGTGCTTTATCTTGTTAACGTGGCGCTTGCTCCTTGATTCTCTGCTTCTCTTCTGGTATTTTTGATTTAAGCGTCGGAGAATAAAACTTGACAATTATAAACAGGTGGAGATTTTGCTGATGTTATCGTTAGGCCCAAATTTTAATGATGGGCTGGGCTCAGATAATAAGCATACGAGTACTTGATTATTGTGTTGAAGTTGAAGGCGTTAAAGGTCAACAGAGTTTACTTGAAGCTCATAAAACTTTAGGTCAATTGTTAACCCAATTGCTCATAGTACAAACTTTACAAAGTGACCAAACTGATCACCATGAAACTATTTTCGAACACGAGTCGAAAATTATCCCCAACTTAGAAAATGATCGATACTCATAGATTTTTTAATAAATCTTATGTAAGGGTGTCATAAATGAGTATATATAGAGGAGATTTGATCACATATTTTAATCAAGTGAGATAGCTAACATTCACATAAATCATAAATGTGAGTATTACTCCAATGCATGGTTGAATGATTTGAAGGGCCCTTTAACTATATGTATATATGACTAATGGCTCTTGCTTGAGGCAATCAACCATAAATAGTGTCTTAATAATAAGCTTTCTTGGGCTAAACTTGGCCTGGTTCTATATTTGAAACTAAGCTAATGGAAAATGGGAAACACTTTGGCTGTAAAATTGGTGTCTAAAACAAAAGCAACAATAGAACAAGAACAAAATTAAAAGAAGGAAATTCGGTGTGGCGTGAAGAATCAATGCCTTTGAAAACGAATTCCGACGCAATCGGGGTGCTCAATTGTAATCGCCGGATCGTCCCCTAAGGTTACACACCACTCTCAGGTTAAGGCACTTTAGAGTAAGAGGTGGAGCCTATGAAAACTTATACCCAAAAGAAGAGTGTGTTTTGCTAGTGTTTTTCAAGTGTATATCAGAAAAGCATTTCTCAAAATATATAGAAGAAATGAAGGAAGATGGATGATCAAGAGGAAGTCAAAAAGAGAAGGGATAAATCAGAAATAACAACATGATTTAACCACCATAAAACCTCTATCAAAGTAGAGGTTACAAGAGATTAAAGAAGAAAAGAATCCAAGGAAACTAAGGTAGTCCAATAGCCGAACTCACGCCCGGTCGGGTGAGCATCTAGGCAAAAGTTTGGTTGCTCTTGCGCCCGGTCAGGGGGAGTTCACCCGGTCGGGCGAAAACTCCTCTTTTCCAAACATCCTCTCGCGCCCGATCGGGCGACGGAACTCCAATTACACGATTCCTCTCGCGCCCGGTCGGGCGCCCTGGTCAGACTACTTTAATTTCCTTTCTTTATCACAACAAATTTAACCATACGTCTTGAAATATTATACACAAACAACTTGTAGGAGTCAAATCTTAATGCTACAACTGAAAATAGCGTAATAATTATAAATTTGGGGATTATCTTTGCCAGTAATAATTAATAACTTGAAAATATATAGACAACCAACATAATAAGAAATCATGATAGGTATAGTATATAGATATGAGTTACCCTTTTACGCGCTTATAAAAATCATTTTGCACTTGAGCACTAAAAAAACTTGCAATTAAGGATATAGATTAGAAACAAAACTAAAACATATCATGCATACTGTTTGGGTCCAATTTAGTCCAATTGGGCCTAGGCATTAAATGATCCAATTAAAAGCCCAAGGTCAAGGTTCAACTCTCCAATTGTGCTAAAGTCAAAGGTCAGCCCACAAAGCAAGCCAATTGGGCTAAGACCCAACCTCTCCATGTATGATGAGGTATAAAAGCCATCAATATTGATACATTTATTATGTTCATTGATATATTCTCATAGATTCCATCAAAGCCTCAAGCAGCAAACTCTCTCTTGCATAGTGTCCTCTTCCTACACATTGTACTGACTTTAGCATCGGAGGGGCCTTCCTCGGCAACACCCCCGAGGCTAGTTTACGTGTGTTTACTGTGCAGGAAACCTTCGGCCCAACATAACTTGGACCGAATCCAGCCTTCTCCGTTTCAGCGGACCTCCGGCAAGGTCCCATTGTTTTCACCCGAAACAATTTGGCGCCGTCTGTGGGGAAGACTTTCAAAAATCTTTAAGCCAAATTTCTAACCAAGATCATCTTGCAATTATCTTAGCAGCAATGGCTAAGAACCGCAAGAGCAAAAGCCTCCGTCAAGGAGCGGGCGAAAAGCCTAAAACCCCTACACCATCGCCCTCGCCGGACCGGAACTCTCCCAAGGGTGCCGGCTCGGGGGGAGGATCATACAAGGAGGATTCCCTATCTCCCGTAATTCATGACTCTCAATATAGGCCGGGCCACTCTCGGTCTAGCAGGGGTCAGTCCGATCATAGAACATATTCAGTGTCCCAAAGCCAACCATCGGCTGCGCGCCCTCATTCCCACACTCGGCCGAGGACCCCTTTGACGGGGCCCAGCTCGGAAGAGGTGGCAAGAGCGCTGGCAGTACTCATGGAGGCGATGAGGGCACAAAATATGCCACCACCTCGTGATCGAACTCCTCCGCATACCCGGCATCAGCGGAGGAAGTTAGACCATGATGGTGGGAAGCTTCCTTCCTTCCGGGAACTGGAAGAGTGGGAGGAGGATTCTTGGAAAAATGAAAAACAGAGGAAAAAGAACCCTCAATTTTTAAAAGGATCCTCATCCTCAAGACCAGAAGCGCATAAGAGCAGCAGCTCAGCTTCTCGGCCAGAATCTACTCACCGAGAACCTGAGACTGTTCGCAGAAGCGTCCTTGACCGACTCGGCGGCAAGGAACTGAGCGTGCGTAGTCGCCTCTCGTTCCCTGCAGCCGAGGCCCAGACTTCCCAGCCAAGGACGAAAACCACTCCTACCTCTCTAAGAGGGCGGAGCGCGGTCCCTTCGGCCAGGAACAAGGGCAAGGCCGTTATGCTACCCGCCAGTTCACCATTCGAGCAATGGATACTGGAAGAGCGCGTACCCACGGTTAAAATACCGTCGCACATCACATATGACGGGACCACGGATCCGAAGGATCACGTGGCCTCGTATGAGACTCATATGCATCTTTGCCCCAGATCCGAGGCGACTTGGTGCAAATATTTCCCAACCACTCTCAAGGGGGTCGCGCAAGCGTGGATCTCCAAGGGAGTAAGGCAAGGCTCCATAACAGGGTGGGATGATCTGTCCTCCAAGTTCAGGAGCAAGTTTTCCACGGGGGGAAACCGAAAGCCTCCGAGACTATCTGACCCGTTTCAGTAACGAGTCATCCAGCGTCTCTCAGCTGGACCATGGGCTAGCCATTTTTGCAATGCAGAATGGCCTTCAGCCCGGAAAGTTCCTAGACTTCATGGTCATGCATACCCCGCAGACCTTGGAGGAAGCTTTGAATGCCTCGATAAGTTCATCCGAGCCGAAGAATGGAACAAAGCGAAAACCCAACCTCAATTTGGGGGAGGGAAACAAAGACAAATACCCTTGTCTGAAGGCCAAGGCCATAAGGCAAAGGGAAAGTCAAAGGCCTCGGAGCAATCTTTGGCCAGCGACCCAAAGAAGGAAAAATCTGCCTCATACACAGGCAGATACGAGTCCTACACTCCGCTCTCTCTTCCACGCGCCAAAATTTACAGCGTGACGAAGGAGGAGCAGAGTTACCGAAAGCCGAGACCACTCCCAGAGTGGTATCAGCGAAAAAATAAAAATCAGTGGTGCGAGTTCCACGAGTCTTCGGGACACAACACTGAGGAGTGTATCCAACTGAAGGACCAGATAGAGGACATGGTCCGGAAGGGATACTTGAAAAAATACATCGCGGATCACCGCGAGAAAAAAGAATCCGATAAGTCAGCAAAGGACTCTCGGCAAGACCTCGACTTCCCCGGAAGAACAGTAAAAAGCCGGAGGGGAAATTCCCTCCGATCAATGTTATCTCGGGAGGAATATACTCTCGGAGGGAGCACAAGCGACACCTTAGAGCTTTGACTCACCAGGTGAACAACGCTGACATTCAATCTCCCCAGTCGCCGGTGCCGAACATGACGTTTACAGCCGCCGACTGCCGGGGGATTACGTTCCCTCACGAGGATCCGTTGGTGATCATCGCCACGGTGGCCAACCACGACGTCAGTAAGGTCCTTGTTGACGGTGGGAGTGGAGCAAACATTCTGTTCCGAAAGGCCTACAATCAAATTAAGCTGAAGCCCAAGCACCTTACGCCGGTACCCTACCCGGTATCCGGGTTCAATGGGGCTTCAACTTATCCAGATGGGAAGGTGACACTTCCTGTCACCATCGGTTGCGATGAGGCAGCCCGGAACGTCATGATTGAATTTTTGGTCATCGACGCTCCTTCAGTGTACAACGTGATTTTGGGGAGACCCATAATTCACGAGATCCAAGGGGTCGTCTCAACTTATCATCAGCTTATGATTTACGTCTCAGACGCCGGCTTCCCCGAAAGGATACAGGGCAACCAAAAGGACGCCCGAAGGTGCAACTACCTCAAGCCATCCAGTAGTCGCCCAGATGACGACAAGGATGAGGAGGAGAAAGAAAAAGAAAGAGAGCCAAGCACAAAAAAGCCAAAAGGCCTAAGTGCTTCGGCCCAAGGATCTGTGCCCAGAGAAAAAGGGCCCGAAAGGGAAAAGGCTAGCTCTTTAGCTGAGCCGCAAGACTCAGAGAGCCAGCCGAAGAACAAAAAGACTGGGACACCTGCTGACAGACTGAAACAGTTGAGTTGGCCGAAGGAGACGTTGAGAAATGTGTAACAATCGGGATGGACCTTGATCCGAACACCCGTTGTGAACTTATTCAGCTCCTTCAGGACAACAGAGATGTGTTTGCTTTCTCGGCAGCTGATATGCCCGGGATAAGTTCAGACCTCATCTCCCTTAAGCTTAATGTTGACCCGACGTGTCGACCAGTTAAGCAAAAGAAGCGGAATTACTCCGCCAATAAGAACCGAGACATCGCAGCCGAGGTCAAAAAATTATTGGAGGCAGGATTCATCGAACCTTGCCAATA